TGATCAGCATGTGCAGTTATGCACCAGGTATTTTCTTCTGGATTTATTTAGTATTTTTAGAGTTATTGCCCTTCACTTAGAAAATTTTTGCAATTTTCAACTTGTGTCGCAAGTTACTCAAAAAGGATTTGACATAGTCATTAAACCTTATGGGTAGGTTGTTCAGCATATTTAGATTTGCACCTGGGGTTTCGCTTGTGAATTTATACAGTATTTGTAGAGTTATTTCCCTTGACTTTGTTAAAAGATTGACAGAACAGTGGCGTGGTGGGGGCACCCGTGTCCTATGGACACATTTCTAGTTTTACTCTCAAGTATAGTAATTTATAAAAATGTGCTGCCGTTGCCACTCATTAATATACGCCCTTAGTATTTATTATTGGTATATATTTCAAGGTAGAAATCAAATCTTTTAAGACAGATTTTACATCATAAAAATTTTATATTTAAAAGTTTATTTTAGTGATACTTGACATTTTTTATTTATATGATTACATACAACTAAATGTACATGACGATGTACTTGTTGAAAATACTGCAAACGTTTCACATTTTCTCGCCAATAAGTCTAGAATGATTTGTATGTGTAAACACTCGCTGTTTTTACTTGAACTTTGAGTTCTACTTCCTTATACAGTCTGTTAAGTCGGATATTAAATACTTTGAACTGTAAGTTATAGTGAAAGCTACATGTAGCTTACATGTATAGCATTAAATCAGCCTTTAAAATCATTCAAGATTTGTTTATTTTGAAGTTTTTTCAGGAAAAAAAATATATTAGATAATGAATATACATAGCCAAAATACTTCTGCTTGAATTTGCACTATTTTATAAAATGATATTATAGGTGAATTTATGTTCAGTTTTCATATTTTGTATATTATAGTTTGGTAATAATATATAAAAAAAAATAGTAATAAAGTGGGGAAAATGCTTGTAAATGAAATTTTAACTGCTGTATGATTAGTGTACCAGAACTTAAACTAATTAAAACATTGTAGTTAATATATTCTAGAAAATTTTATGATAGTAGGATATGGTGGTGTAGGCAAGTAATAGGTTAAGTTATATTTAAACCATATCTACACATAGATACATGTATATTACTATGCTCAAATTTGATGTTTGAAAATATTGATAATTGTTACATGCTCTCTTTGTTAATATAAAATGAGCATGTTTCGACTTCACACGAAGTAGATAATTAATTGTTATGCATTAAATCCTACACACTATGAGTATTCAGCAGTAAGAATTTTATATATTTCAATAAATTTCTGCGATAAAAAATATTTTTTTCAAAGATGTGCATAGTATACATATATCTTTAAATGATAAAGGAAAAGAAAAAGTTTTATCAATTTATGAGATAGGAATGACTGTAGTAAATATACTCGGACAGACTAGAAGTGACCAGAAAGACCACAGAAAGACTGGTTTATAGTGACATCATCACAATGCTATCACATGATGACCACATCAAAACTTGTCAGATATCTCAGACATGCAACAGGGCAGCGCTTTTTGCCCCTTCTATAGCAGGGGCCGTTATAGGGCTGCTTCCCCAAAGAAAAATTCTTTAAAATCATGCAGTTTTCCCCAAAAATTGAATTTACATCAAGTTTTTTCTTCCCGTTTTGCAAACATATCATGTAATTTTCCCCCAAAATTAAGGGCATGGCTGCTACATGTACCTTAACCTGTGAAAAAAAGCCCTACAGAGATATGAAATTTTTACTGTGGTGACGTTTCAATCAAAGAGGTGGACATAAGAAATATTGATTGAAATGGAAATACATTATTTGAAACTGAAATTTTTGTTGAATTAATGAAAAAAAAAACAAGTGTTTATAAAATTATTGTTAGTATTATTATTTTGTGAAAATTTGTTGAAAATAAAGTTCTTCAGTATAATGTCCTAAGGTTCAATTATCAAAAGTATCTTAAAAGTAAACATACTAAGTACTTATTACTTTTGAGTATGTATATAATATAATGTGACAAAAGGTCAAGTTATTTGTCTGTAGTATTACTTGTTGCCATGAGATATTGTTTGTCATTCTTTGAAAAAAAGATTTGTTTGAAATATGACTTAAGATAAGATAGGGACATTTTAAATTAGATACTGAGGTCACAATATAAAGATGAAATTTTATCTGCATTGCTTTAAAATGACGAGTCCAGTTACTGAAATAAAAGCTGTGCAGTGAAACTGGAGAATATATTTTCTATCATGCTAGATTGGTTTTGTGTTGGTGTCATGACTTTACCATCCAGCTGAGAGCAGTAATAAACTTAAAACAGTAAAATAAGCAATTGGCAAGGTTGGATTAAGGATGAATTTTACAAGCTTATATTGTGTTGTTAAATTTGCTTCAATTGTTCAATTCAATATTTTGGTACAAAAATTCCATTGTTGTGTGAAAACAAAATATTAGAGGGTAAGAATAGTTTTCTTTGTGTTGATATTAAAACAACATTTGTTACTATTTCTTGCTTGATATGTGTTTGACAAGTAAAATCTTAATGAATTCTAATGTTTCATTAGAGTTGGTAAAATGGACTTTCTGTACTTAAATCAGCTAAAGGCAAAGTGTTCAACAAAAATTACTTTATACATTATATAATATACATTAAGAAATTGTGCTGAACAGCTTGCACCAGTCCTCTGATTTCTCATATTGAATGAAAGTTTACTTTGATAATTTGTGAGCTGGGTTGTTAAGGAAAATCATTTTTCAACCTGTGAAATACACAAGGACTACAAGTGTTATTACAAAATTATGTCAATGTGTGATTTATGAAGATAAAATCTATGTAGTTTTAAGGTACTTGTATTAGATGCCTGATGTAGTACCACCTCACAACGGGTGTGGGTTCAATACCCACCGGAGGCAAACTATTCTTCAATTTTTGTACTTTTTAAAAAAATCTTAAATGAAGAAATATTTGCATTTTTATATACATATGAGTTAAAATGAATAAAAAAAAAAGTTTTACAACTAAAAATGAAAATCTGGATAGTAAACCTCCTGTATGTTATGCACAAATGTTCTGAATTGTATGTATGGTAGATAATTATTAAAGATACATGTAAAGGGATGTTCCTGTGATAGATGACAAAATTTGACGGGTTATCTGAACCTGCCCTCTTTCTTTTACATCATAACTAATATATAAATGTTTTAATTCAGCATTTTTTGTTTGTTATTATTTCTAAACTGTAGTTCTGTCTAACCACTTCTTATAAGTTAGATAAAGAAATTATTAATAAACTGATTAGAAAATATTTGTTGTTGTTACAAAAAAGGTTTACCCATTACTGATGGAAAAAATGCCAAAAAATTGTAAACTTTTTTTGAAAATTTGTTAATGACAAGAATTTGGGACGGGGGCATTTTTATTTACCAAACACGTTCTTGTTTGTTTTTGTGTCAAGAATATGATAAAGTTCAATGATAAAAAGTTTTTTGATGACTTGAAAAATTGTCATTTATATCATACCTTAAAGGTATGTACAGTAGGCTTAGTTGGGGGTCAGAGTTTCTATCCACATAACAAGTGTCTGTAAATGATAAAGAAATATTATTAATAGATAGATTTAGGCTATAGGGAGAAAAAAATCATGCTAAGCTGTGGATGTTTATACATACTTTGTAGCTTTATTATGCCCCCGCCATGTAATGGCCGGGGCATATAGTGTTACCCTGTTCCGTCCTTCCGTCCTTCCGTCATTCTGTCATTCCCTCATCATCAGTTTCCTTCATTATCTTAAGAACGGTTGCACGTATTCAACTCAAATTTGACATATGGATATGTCATGTGAAAATACAGGTCAAGTTCGAATTTGGTCATGGTTCGATGATTTTTGGCAGAGTTATGCCCCTTTTACTTTGAAAATAATATGAAATTTCAGTTTCCGTTCATTATCTCCCCAACGGTACAACACATTCAACTCAAACTTGACATATGGATATGTCATGAGAAAATACAGGTCAAGTTCAAATTTGGTCATGGTTCGATGATTTTTGGCAGAGTAATGCCCCTTTTACTTTGTAAATAATATAAAATTTTCAGTTTCCGTTCATTATCTCCCCAATGGTACAACACATTCAACTCAAACTTGACATATGGATATGTCATGAGAAAATACAGGTTAAGTTTAAATTTGGTCATGGTTCAATGATTTTTGGCAGAGTTATGCCCCTTTTACTTTGAAAATAATATGAAATTTTCAGTTTCCGTTTATTATCTCCCCAATGGTACAACACATTCAACTCAAATTTGACATATGGATATGTTTTTGGAATGCCCAGGCCAAGTTCGAATTTGGTCATGGTTCAATGATTTTTGGCAGAATAATGCCCCTTTCACTTTGAAAATAATATGAAATTTACAGTTTCTGTTCATTATTTACCCAACAGTGTTACATATTCAACTTAAATTTGACATATGGATATGTCAAAGGAATGGGCAGGTTAAGTTGGAATTTGGTCAGGGTTTGATGATTTTTTGGCAGAGTTATGTCCCTTTCTTTTTGAAAATAATATAGATACATCTAAGGAATAAGCAGTTTAAGTTTGAATTTGGTTGTGGTTCAATGATTATAGACAAACTTATCTTTCCTGAATGTTGGAAAAATTTCAGTTTCAGCACTCATACTTTTAGCCATTATTTTGGCTACAAATATGCAATATGCTATTTTTAAAAGGTTAAGACTGAATAATTTCAGTGCCTTGAACATTGTATGAAAATGGTTAGTGTTAACATTGAAAAGTTTTGAGGGCTTTGAACTTAAAATGAAAAAAATTATTAATGCACCATCTGAAATTTTGGCTGCATGCGGGGGCATCCGTGGCATGATGACACATTTCTAGTGACAAATAACACATGCATTAACCTATTGTAGATTACTTACATAATATCATTATCTATACAACATAAAGATGATCTATGTGTAACATTGTTAATACATTATCTATTTTGCTAAATATTTCAGGGTCTGTACATTTATTTCAAGTGTCAAGATGTGTCATGCAGAAACATTGAGTGGATTTATTGATAGATAAGAAGGTAAGTTGTTTTTTATTTCACCCTTTTAAACAATCATGTATCTTATGCATATTTAACCTATTTATTACTCACTGTAATACTTAGTGTACTGATTTAATTCACATAGTGTTTAAAACTTTAAATTAAAAACTTGAACAAATATTAACCTATACCCTGCTTAGTTCTGCAAACTAACCTGTCCACTTTTTCATTTTTAGAACTATCCATTATCAAATTTGGGGGTGTCAAGAGCTGGACACGTATCAGTATAGAGTCCAGTTAAGCTGCACAGATGTGCAGGCTGGCCTGGCTCTACACTAGTGGCAGTCGTAAACATGGTAACAGTGTATAACTAAGATGTTTTACCATATTGATCATGTAGGATATTTTCTGGAGTTATTTCGCAATGGACAGAAGTTAAAGAAATATACTGTTATAATACAATATCTGCTGTCTTTGAAGGAATGATTATATAGGAATCTTATTACTGATCAAGTAAGTGAACGAGAAGTATGCGCTTTGAACATAGATGTGATAAAAACAGCAGAACAGTCTATGTCTTGATATAATATGTCAGTATACAGTAAGGAAAGGTTGAGGTAGGGTAAATCACTAAATGGTTTCCTTCCTATAGGGCCAGTCCAGAGGAGGTCAAATTTGAAACATCATCAAACTTCCACTATAATACATTGTATTTTGACACACTTTAGATAATTACTGTAGATGTTTAGTGCGTCTGCAGGGCTAAGTAAAATCACTTTATTGTAACATTTATAGTATCTTTATTTTTTTATTTTTCAGAAAAATTTGTATCAGCAATTTTTATATGATTTCTATTTATATATGATAAATTATCTTCATAAATCATTGCATAATTTAATTCAACTCTTAAAATATATGGAAATTAATAACCTGGTCTCTAGTTTAAGTGTTACAATAAACACATACGTTATATAAAAGAATAAGTGTTTCTTATAGAGATGATACAGTACACTGTCACTGTTTTTGTTTATTTATCTACATACTATGAGAGTGGTGTTGATTGAAGTTAGTAGATAATGTATTGAAGCTGACATAACAAAATATGTCTTACTGCAATACATGCAATGTGCAGGTGGTAGAAAAACCCACATCAAATGATCACTTTGCCACCTTTCTTTTGTGATCTTTTATGTTTTGTGAAAAAATTAAGCTAATATATTCAAAAACATAGCTAGATCACAACATTAGGTGCTTTTTCCGTAAGTTTTCATAATCATACTTTACTTACTTTCAAAAGGAATATTTAATATTTAATTTGTGAAAAATTAAAAATATTATTTATGTAAACAGTAAGTAAAGTACATTTCTTTTTGCGTTTTCTATCCTTTTTCTTTTGTGCAAACTTACCATAATTATTGTAATTGAGAAAGGCCGTCACAATGTATAGATACATTCTGCTGGAAAATAATATAATCTATGCACAGCTCATGTGCTTTTATGATGACATGTTAATGATGTTAACTAATCAAAAGTTAGACAGTTGAAGTAGAAGATAATTGAGTTTAAAATTGACAGGTGAGAGGGGTCAGTCTGTATAAGATATTAATAATTTAATTTGTTAATAGTAAATAATTTAATCTTTTGAAAATACGTCATGAATGATAATGACATGGTGAATTTTTATATTACCTACCATATCATTCCCTGGATTTATTATCAACATTGCACATGTTACCAAGATGCAAGTTAGCTATGATCATTTGAAATTCATTGTAATTACAATTATGTTACCTTATAATTATGATGATGATGATAATAATGATAATGATGGTGGTGGTGATAATATGATGATGATGATAATGATGATGGTGGTGGTGATGATAATAATATGATGATGATGATGATAATGATGATGATGTTGATGGTAAATTTAATTATGATGATGATGATGATTATATGATATTAATTATGATGATGATAATTGATTTATTGATGATGAGGATGATGATGATAATGTGCTTACACATTTTATGATCTGATAGTCTTAATATTTTTCTGTGTTTTAAAGGGACTCAACGGAGGTTTCTTAATATAAGGGAACAGGAAGTAATCGTTTCGAGATTAATGTTCCATTTGATGTAGGTCTAGACCAAGAACTGCAAAAGTTCAGATCATTCACTCACTCCTTTTTTTCAAAAAGGATAATTCTAATTGTGAAAAATGACCCAAATTGAAAATGTTTTTCACTCAACTGGACTTAGATACGATTTTCAGTTTATTTCCGAGTAAGTTCTTAACCCATTGCTTCATGAGCATTTTGTGAAAAATGGCTGTTTTCATTGAAAAGTCTCCCGTTACAAGTTCAAATTGCTATAATACTATAAAAACTGCTTCAACACTAATCAAACTTGGCACAAATGTTGACTGGACCATTGCCCTTGCAACAACATGCTCAGGCTTAAATTTTCTGTTACCATGGCAACGAGGGGACATCTCAAAATTGCCAAAAATCACTATTTTGCGTTGATTTTTTCCATCAAAATTGATTTCAAAGTGCTGCAACTTCTCAATGGATTGAGATAGAGTCAAATGCTTTTCAGCGTTGGTTACACGTTACCTTATGATCAATCTGGGGTCATTTACAGCCTCTCACAAGTCCAAAATTTTCTTGGCGATGACGGGGACTCCGCCCCCCTTCAAACCCCCAAACAGAAGGGGGCACATCCCCCTTCTGGCAACCCCCTGATGTATCTTTTGGTTGGGGGCCGCGCCGAAAAAGAGGTCACTTTTTTAACAAAATTTCTCAAACAAAAACAAGTGTTTGGGGCCTAAATAAGGCATTTTTTCATCATTTGAGACAACAAAAAGGGGGGGGGGTGAAAAAGGCGTTAAAAGGCGTGTATATGAAGTAATGGGTTAACAGAAAATGATGAAAAATACTTGAAATTACCCTAAATCGCGTTTTTTCATGTTTAAACATGGCCTGTCATATAAATTTGAAAGAAAAATTGTTGTTTTTTGTAGATTTTTTTATTTTTTTCATTAACCCATTGCTTCATGAGCATTTTGTGAAAAATGGCTGTTTTCATTGAAAAGTCTCCCGTTACAAGTTCAAATTGCTATAATACTATAAAAACTGCTTCAACACTAATCAAACTTGGCACAAATGTTGACTGGACCATTGCCCTTGCAACAACATGCTCAGGCTTAAATTTTCTGTTACCATGGCAACGAGGGGACATCTCAAAATTGCCAAAAATCACTATTTTGCGTTGATTTTTTCCATCAAAATTGATTTCAAAGTGCTGCAACTTCTCAATGGATTGAGATAGAGTCAAATGCTTTTCAGCGTTGGTTACACGTTACCTTATGATCAATCTGGGGTCATTTACAGCCTCTCACAAGTCCAAAATTTTCTTGGCGATGAGGGGGACTCCGCCCCCCTTCAAACCCCCCAAACAGAAGGGGGCACATCCCCCTTCTGGCAACCCCTGATGTATCTTTTGGTTGGGGGCCGCGCCGAAAAAGAGGTCACTTTTTTTAACAAAATTTCTCAAACAAAAACAAGTGTTTGGGGCCTAAATAAGGCATTTTTTCATCATTTGAGACAACAAAAAGGGGGGGGGGGTGAAAAAGGCGTTAAAAGGCGTGTATATGAAGTAATGGGTTAACAGAAAAATGATGAAAATACTTGAAATTACCATAAATCGCGTTTTTTCATGTTTAAACATGGCCTGTCATATAAATTTGAAGAAAAATTGTTGTTTTGTAGATTTTTTTTATTTTTTTCATTAACCCATTGCTTCATGAGCATTTTGTGAAAAATGGCTGTTTTCATTGAAAAGTCTCCCGTTACAAGTTCAAATTGCTATAATACTATAAAAACTGCTTCAACACTAATCAAACTTGGCACAAATGTTGACTGGACCATTGCCCTTGCAACAACATGCTCAGGCTTAAATTTTCTGTTACCATGGCAACGAGGGGACATCTCAAAATTGCCAAAAATCACTATTTTGCGTTGATTTTTTCCATCAAAATTGATTTCAAAGTGCTGCAACTTCTCAATGGATTGAGATAGAGTCAAATGCTTTTCAGCGTTGGTTACACGTTACCTTATGATCAATCTGGGGTCATTTACAGCCTCTCACAAGTCCAAAATTTTCTTGGCGATGAGGGGGACGCCCCCCTTCAAAACCCCCCAAACAGAAGGGGCACATCCCCCTTCTGGCAACCCCCTGATGTATCTTTTGGTTGGGGGCCGCGCCGAAAAAAGAGGTCACTTTTTTTTAACAAAATTTCTCAAACAAAAACAAGTGTTTGGGGCCTAAATAAGGCATTTTTTCATCATTTGAGACAACAAAAAGGGGGGGGGGGGTGAAAAAGGCGTTAAAAGGCGTGTATATGAAGTAATGGGTTAACAGAAAATGATTGAAAATACTTGAAATTACCCCTAAATCGCGTTTTTTTCATGTTTAAACATGGCCTGTCATATAAATTTGAAGAAAAATTGTTGTTTTGTAGATTTTTTTTATTTTTTTCATTAACCCATTGCTTCATGAGCATTTTTGTGAAAAATGGCTGTTTTCATTGAAAAGTCTCCCGTTACAAGTTCAAATTGCTATAATACTATAAAAACTGCTTCAACACTAATCAAACTTGGCACAAATGTTGACTGGACCATTGCCCTTGCAACAACATGCTCAGGCTTAAATTTTCTGTTACCATGGCAACGAGGGGACATCTCAAAATTGCCAAAAATCACTATTTTGCGTTGATTTTTTCCATCAAAATTGATTTCAAAGTGCTGCAACTTCTCAATGGATTGAGATAGAGTCAAATGCTTTTCAGCGTTGGTTACACGTTACCTTATGATCAATCTGGGGTCATTTACAGCCTCTCACAAGTCCAAAATTTTCTTGGCGATGAGGGGGACTCCGCCCCCCTTCAAACCCCCCAAACAGAAGGGGGCACATCCCCCTTCTGGCAACCCCCTGATGTATCTTTTGGTTGGGGGGCCGCGCCGAAAAAGAGGTCACTTTTTTTAACAAAATTTCTCAAACAAAAACAAGTGTTTGGGGCCTAAATAAGGCATTTTTTCATCATTTGAGACAACAAAAAGGGGGGGGGGGTGAAAAAGGCGTTAAAAGGCGTGTATATGAATCGTTTCGAGATTAATGTTCCATTTGATGTAGGTCTAGACCAAGAACTGCAAAAGTTCAGATCATTCACTCACTCCTTTTTTTCAAAAAGGATAATTCTAATTGTGAAAAATGACCCAAATTGAAAATGTTTTTCACTCAACTGGACTTAGATACGATTTTCAGTTTATTTCCGAGTAAGTTCTTAAAGATCTTTTGCAAATCTCTCTGTTTTAGGTATCGCAGCTAATCTATGTAAAAATTCTAATTTTATGTTTTTAGGCTGTTAATACCTCAGCACATATCTCTAATGTTTACATTTAGTGGCTAAATCTTTGTATGGTATTTATTAAATGGCTTGATAACTGACCACCTTTTCGTAAATATTATCACATGGCTTTAGTTCAAGGTTGTAAGATTCATTAACATTTTTATCTTTATATATACTGTCAATGATGGGTTATATTGTTGTTTTAAAAGATAAAAATAGTTTCATGTTTAATTACATATACAGGAAATAAAATGATTTTAAGTTTTTAAAGTAAAACTTTAAAGAGTTTAGAATATGGTTTGGTTTGACTATGTGCATGTATTCTTACATAGTTTTTAAGTCACAATTAAAAAAGGAAGAAATGTTTTCAAAAGCTTATTTATTAAGTTAAGGATTTTTTCAGTCTATTTGGAAATATTATTTTAGTTTTGATATAAGCAGTATGCATTTATTTCCTTAGTACAATTGGTGTATGTCTCCATTATTTGTTCAGGACAACTGTTCAAATTATTGAATTATATACCATTGTAAACATTCCTGGTTATGGCTTTGTATACTGTTGAAGATTAACCTCCTCAGTTACTGAAGATATTACCTTGAAACTCTTGTGTGATTATTGTAGATCATTTTAACAAACCCCATGTTATAACCCTGTGTAAATTCGAAAATTTCTGTGTGAAAATTGTTCATGCAGGATCATTCTGCACATTTTTTTGATGGTGTTCACTTGGTAACTTGACTTGTCTTCATGATTATAATTATAGGTTATTATACAATGATCCATAAGTCAGACATGAATTATTCCCCTTTAGTGAGCATTTTACTTCACTCGCATTCTAATTTTACTATATCTAATTTATATCTATAGTATAAAAGAATATGTTCGAGTAAATGATTATACACCTAAATATGTATGCTGATATTCTCTGTTTTTAGCTCGACTTTTCTATGAAAAGGGGAGCTATCCTACTCGCCCCGGCGTCGGCGTCACACCTTGGTTAAGTTTTTCGTACCACCCCACTTTATTTCAGAAGTATTACAAGTATGGCTTTGAAACTTACCATACTTGTTCACCATCATAACCTCCATCTACAGACAAGAGTACATAACTCTGTCAAGGTTTTTGACAGAATTATGGCCCTTTTTTGACTTAGAAAGTGTATTGAGCTTGGTTAAGTTTTTTGTACCACCTCACTTTATTTCAAACCATTGGAGGTATTGCTTTGAAACTGACCATACTTGTTTACCATCACGACTTTCATCAACAGACAAGAGGACATAACTCTGTCAAGGTTTTTGACAGAATTATGCCCCTTTTTTTGACTTAGAAAATACATTGAATATGGGTAAAATCCACTTATTGCCTTAACCCTTTGAGATATTGCTTTGAAACTTTTAATGCTATTTCACATCATTACCCCATCTGTACGCAAGAGAAGGTAACTCTGTCAAGGATTTGTTTTTAAAAATTAAGGCCTTTTATCGACTTAGAATCTGGTTTAAGTTTTTTAGTACCAGTCCACTTTTGACTGAACTGTTTGAGATATTAATTTGAAAGTTGGAATACTTGTTTACAATCATGATTCCCAAACATGTCCAGGAGAAGGTAATTCTGTCAAAGATTTTATTTGAATTATGGCCCTTAACTGTCAATGTTTTGTATTATAGGCAAGCACTAAAAAACTTAAAAAATCTAAAAAAATTCATTCCTATCCACTTGTTCACTTTACCATAAATTATGTCATATAAACATTGCTGTAATATTCAAGGGTATCAAACAACTAGTTCACTTTAAAATACAGAGATTCTTGTATTGCCTTTTACTGCAAAAACTTTTTTTATTGGCAAGCAATAAAAAAGTCGAGCGCGCTGTCTTACGGACAGCTCTTGTTGGTACTGCATTTGTACACATGTATATATGATGTGTAAAGTAAATGATTGATAATATTATATTCACTCTCGCTATATTACATGCATGTACTTGTATATGTGAATGACGATGAACCGATGTGTTCAAGTCAATTTTGTTGAATAAACTTCTGTTCTGTTCTGTTCTGTTCTAATTTTACTACTAAGCTCTAAAGAACAGTTGAGCACACTTTCATACTGGCAGGTCTTTATATAAATTCTTACAAGATTAGCAAACAAAGTAAGTTTGCAACTTTCTTACAAAGTAAATTAGTGTTAGCAACACATACAGAACAAACAATAGGCTTAAGAGTTACACAAACCCACTGATGTTTATAGAGCAGTGATGCATTGAAAACATGAGTCAAATGTTTTTGTCAATATTGAAGCTTTATACTAAAAAAGTCTAAGTTACAGCAAGCAGTATTAGAAGATGAAATAAATGTACATGATTTGTTACATTTAATCATTAAAATTGCTTCAGATGTCAAGGTACTGTTTACAGTCAAAGGATCAGTTTTTAAGATGAAGATGTTTTTGTGACTTTCTTACCTTTTTCCTGAAACTATAAGTGTTTTGTTTTTATTAATTATCATACTATTATTTTCAGGTGATTGAGGTATACTTCTTATGATATAAATCAAAAAATAGGGTGTAGACATGGCATTGATAGGTAATTTTCGCTCTCAGATGTTATGGGAGAACATCAGGAAAGGTGATCTGTCAGCAGTTGTCAACCTACTAGAGAATGGAACAATTAACTTGGAGGAGAGGGACGAGGTAAGCTGCTAGATTATTTTGTTACACAGTTCCAGTATCAATGTTTTCAGTCATATTCTGAGAAACTGTCACCCAATTAATTTTCCTTGATTCTGTGCCTTTATAAACCAGCTTAATATTAAGTAACTGAAAGCTCCTGTATATTATCTAATGGAACAGAGCTTGAAACTATTGGCTGTAGGCCCTAAATAATAAATATAAGGTGATAGAAAGATAAAAGAAATGGAATATAAAATATTTTCAATGGTGTTTTTTTTAATTTATCTACATTCTACAGATATCTGATAATTGAAGTTTTTAATCATTGCTCATTTGAATATTGGGAACAAATCCTAATTAAGAAAACAAATATTGTTTGTTTCCATTTCAGAATGGTCAGACATTTTTGATGGTGGCATGTCAACAAGGGGAGATAAGTCTAGCAAGAGAATTACTGGATGCCGGGATTGACCCTAATGCAACAGATAATGTAAGTTTCACTATATCTCTTTGTATTAACAACCCAGTTTGATCACAGAGAAAAAAGATTTATGTACAGTGTATATACATGTATTGTCTTAATATTTTACTTTCTTGTATCATTTTACTTCCTGATAACTATGTATTTTACATCATTTTACCTTCTGATAACTATGTATTTTACAAAACTGATGTTTAGTTCTTTCTTTTTTAATGTATGTCATGTCAGGAGTCAACAAACTGATAGCCAAACAATAAAAAGGAATTTGTTCTTGTTATGGTCCCAAAAATTTCTTCATACACTTTGATTATGAATATCTCTATAACAAAATATCAAGCTTTCAATCATTGTCAATTGATAGTGATAATTGAAAACAAATGGTTTTATTTGACATAGTAGCATTAATTGCATAAATGATATTTCACTGTTTGTCAACATAAATAAAGTAAGCAGTACTAATTCACTATTGTAGTAATGATATGATATTATTATATACAGGATAACTGGACAGCTCTACTGTATGCTGCGAAGGATGGTCATCTAGAGATCTGTATAGAATTGTTAGAGAGAGATGCTGATATAGAACATAGAGATCTGGTAAATTGATTAACTCTCCATCTAGCAGTAATAAATACAGGCATATATCTTCAATGTAAAACTACGCCATCCTGCACATGCATGCAGCCTCACTATAACTCTTCAAAACTTAATTTATAAAGACACAGTATTGCAAGATTTTTTTACAGAACTTGGTTTATACAAAATTTATTTTAGTTTGATTGTGTAGGAAGCTATAAGCTTATAGAAACACTAGTGAGAAATGTGTGTAAAGTTTCTTGCTCAAGGAAACAACGATTGCCCCTGACGGTGTTTGATCCCATGCGGCTAGGGATCATTAGATTCTGACACATTTAAAGAACTTGCTTAGTACTTGTTGGTTCAAGAAACAGATTCAAGATTGTGCCCATACACTTACAGCATTTTACACATCCTAAAAATAAATACTGTATAAACTAAAGAGTTTTCTCTGATAAGTGTTTTCTTGTACCATATAGGAATTAATTTATTGTTGTGGTCTATTTTTAACAAGTAACTATGCTTGATAATATGACATAAGTACCTTTATATAATATGGAGATGGTTTTACCTGGCTACATTTAAGGCCATATTTGACATCTAGTAATTTGTGTCATTTAGTTTATTTTGTTATTACATTATATTATTCTATTTATAGTGTAATTGGACAGCATTAATGTGGGCATCATATAAAGGTAGAGATGAAGTTGTACAGGAATTACTTGACAGAGATGCTGACCCTAACATTAAAGCTGAGGTTTGTAATGTTACCAAATAAAACAAGGGAGATAGATTGCTAATAAAATATTTAAGTGGTATATTAAAGAGTGATACTAAAAAAAGGATTGGAACACCACACTAAATTATGTATTCTAGTATATACTGGACAATGTGCTTGAATAATAAAATGGTAATATCTTGCCCTTTTACCTAACGGAATGAACTTTTAAAGGTCTAATTCATCTTTTCACACTGATTTATGTATTATTATGAATGAAAAATGCAATAATCAGGGGAAAAAAAGATACTTGTCTATTTTGTGATCATGATTTCTGCAAGCGTCTGCTCCAGTCCTGTAATGAGTCAAATCCTTTATTAATAGGCATAATTGTGAATAAAATTTCAACATGAGCTCAGTCAGCAGTAAAATATAGATAAAGAAATATGCATATTTACATTTTTGTGTTTACATGCTTTGTGTAAGTGTCTTAGAACAGGATACAGTTCTATGTCTCTAATTGTAATTACTCCTGTTTTATCAAGCACTCTACTATAAACATACATGCGATAGTTGAACTTCTTTCATGCTTTACTTTATTTTGACTTTATTAAAGGAAGTTCCAATGTCCTTTTTTTAGTAATATTTATTCAAAAATATTTATAATTTTTCTGTATTTTTCAGCACAATATGTCATGTCTAGGCTGGGCATCTGGTAGAGGACATCTTGGTGTAGTTAAAGCACTGGTAGAGAAAGGTGCTAGAGTTAACAGTACTGATAAGGTAGTCTTGAGTTCCCTCATTTGTGTGACCAAACTAATTAGAAAGATTTTTACACAATTTTTTATTCTAACAGTTACATTTAAAGAATTGATATGTTTTAATTATTTAAGATTTCTACTGTCTAGTTACTTTATTTAGTTATTTAAAGGCCCATTATGTCTTGTAAACCTTTTATTTTCATTTCTCAGAAGCTTTTAAATTTCTGAAGAAGTAAAAATTTATTTGTTTATGAGGCATGATGTGCCTTTAAGCAAATTATTAAATTTTCTTGATAATTCATGTTTAGATTCTTTTGATGGACCTTTGGTCAAGTGATTAAGGTCACTTACTTTTAACCTGCTGCACCTTATCACAAAGTGTACAGTAAATGGGATTTTGAAATCACGTCACTAAGGACATATTACGGTTTAACTTGTACAAGTGATTATGTTATTATTATTTCAGTATGGTACGACACCTCTCATCTGGGCATGTAGGAAAGGTCATGCTGATATAGTGACAGAATTATTACAACATGGTGCTTATGTTGACAATACAGGAATGGTGTGTTATTATGTTAAATCTATGTGTGAATTATGGTACTACCCCTATTAAATTTTATGTCTGGCTCTTCATGTTCAACTACATTTATTCTAAAGTTGTTTAGAAGCCTTTTTACTAATAGACATAAAATAACTGAACCAGCCATCCCCTTTGTAATACAAGGTTAACTATTATAGCAAGTTCCTTAGTTTTACCTGTGACAATGGCTTTGTGACTTACACCCTTACCAATACAAAGTCAATTATCTTGGCAAGTTATTGAAGTGTGGTATCTATTTCCACAGTTATTTCCATTTTATAACATTTAGAAAATAGGTATGTTTAACCTATGCCAGCAAGATGGATGTATCTTAAGTTCTACCTGTTGAAATGACTTCATTTATACACATTTACAAACCAATATAAAGTTAATAAAATAATATGGAAAAGAATACATGAAAGAAAAGAAACACAAATTAAGGATGGCACTTTACCAAAGTAATATATATCTTCATTGTATTTTTGTTGTGGAGCAATTTTTGTGTCGCCTTAAAAAGGCGGCATATAGGGGTTACTTTTGTTGGCCGCCTCGGCGTCGTTGTTGGCCTCCCCTAAAGCTTGTCAGGAGCATAACTCAGTCACTATAAGTCGGATTGACTTCAAACTTGGTATGCATGCTTCTTTTAATAACCCGAAGTGCAGTGCACTTCTTAATTTTTTTAGTTATTGCCCTTTGTAAATTTTCATACTTTAATTTTGTCCGGGCCATTTCTCTTCAACTTTAAAAACTATGGACTTGAAACTTCATAGGATGATAGATCTCATTAAGAAGAAGTGCAGTGCACAAGAACTGGTACTCTACATTTCTTATTTTTTCAGTTATTGTCCTTTGTTAATTTTCATACTTTTGTAAAGGTATGTCAGGATGGGGAAAATAAATACAATTCTTTTAAAGTTTTCTAAGTTTATAACAAGTATTTCGGCGACAACAGTGTCTAGTGAGTAAATAATACTGGATATAAATGCATACCAACTTACAAGTTTGGATAACAATGTCGTTTGTAAGATGTTTACTGTATTTGAACTTTGGCGGTTTTATAACTTTATTTGCATTACTTGGAGGTCAAGACCGAAGTGACAACATTGGTTGGATTCCGACTTTTATAAGGTTCGATGTTTGAAATCCACCAATGACACAACAGAAATCCGGAAATCCTCCAATGGACAGAAGGCCGGATTTCTGAATCTGAAATCTTGGATTTCAATGGCGGCCATATTGAAATCTCATATAAAATCTACATACAAAAATAATTAATATACAGAAACATGTAGTGAATACTTAAGGATTTCTGACCTTAATCAATCATAAACTTTACATAAATTAGGTTCTTGAATTGAATTTGACTGAAATTGATATTAACAATAAGAAATCTTCAATATAAAATATGAAGTGACAGATTTCAAAGATGTCTGGCATTCGACGTCTGCTACACAAAAATGTAAAGAGAAAATCAGTTATCTGCTATACATAAAAGGTAAGTTTAACAATTTTATCAGCTTAAATTGCAAAGTCAATAAGTGTTAATACAGTGTTCCTTCAGATCAATCAGGTAAGTGAATCTTGTTATTGTAGAAGTCAACAAATTATGGAGCTATAGGATTTCACAATGTCACTTGGATTTCATTATAAGTTCTGTTGTAAGTACATTTCAGAATAATGCTAGAATGTCAGATCCTTACACTTTATTTTTGTCAAGGTCATTTCACCTCAAATATGAAAGCTATGGACTTGAAACTTCATAGGATGATAGATCTAATTTAAAAATAGTGCAGTGCACAAGAACCGGTACTTTGCATTTCTTATTTTTTGAGTTATAACTCTTTATTAATTTTTATACTTTATTTTTGTCCAGGCTATTTCTCATAAATTAAAAAAGATATGAACTTGAAACTTCATAGGATGATTGATCTTATTGAACTGTTGCTCTGCATGCATTATTTTTTGAGTTATTGCCTTTTGTTAGTTTTCATATTTCATTTTTGTCCTGGCCATTTCTCCTAAACTATTGTTCACAAGGCTTCACATCCGACTTGTGGAGTTCTAGTTTAAGATAATTTATGAATGTTTTTCAGGACTCTCTGACAGCTGTACTAGTGGCAACTAAAGGAGGTTTTGCAGAAGTTGTACAAGCTCTGTTAGAACATGATCCAAATGTTAATGCTGTTGATAAGGTAACCCTTACATATGACCTAGTTTCCTACGTATCGTCACCTTAGTACAGTAACTGGTTAACTCTTATTAGATTTAGAAGGACTTAACCTGTTACTGCACTAAGGTTACGATTTATACTTGGCCCTTGCTCTAATTGAGTTATTCCATTTTAAATTTAGTTTTGTTTGGATAAAAGAGTTTGAATAAATTTTCCAGGCTTACAGACTTTGTGGCTATATTTCTTTACATCTGATACCAAACATTATCATACATTAATTTATGGGAAGAAGAAGCTTTATTCTTTCACAAATATCATATTAACATGATCAAATTACAAATGTTTGCTCTATCCCTAATTGATAGAAATGTTTATAAATGACTAGATGTAATGATATATATATATATTATATACAGGATGGTTTCACAGCTCTTACAATAGCAGCTAAGGAGGGATATGAAGATATTGTACAAGAACTACTTGCTAAAGATGCTTATGTCAACATTGCTGATAGGGTAAACTAATACTTTAATATATATTAGGTTTGATAAGGTAACATTTTAGTACTTATTTTAAAGTTCCGATAATAAGGCTGTTTTCATTTTCTGGCTCAGTCCACAGATATTGTGCAACAGAATGATGTAAAAATCTAAATAAAGACCAATTACAAATATACAAAAATGTATTAGGATTTGATTTATGAAATTTAAATGGTCATTAGAAAGGAAATAGAGAGGATTATACTTGTTATATGTATTACATATACATATATAGATAACAGTGCTCTCACCGCTGTGGGTCGAAATCATGACAGGGACTTGTGAGGAAGCTATCCAGCCTGCATACAGAATGTTGGTGGTTCTACTCAGGTGCCCATTTGTGCCTGAAATAGTCCTTAGTTGGGCACTTGAGGTCTTCCTCCACTTGTAAAGCTGGAAGGTCACAAAAAAAACCCACAAAAAAACAACAACAAAAAACATTGTATTCTAAAATAATATTATATAGAAATTAGTGTAGAGAAAACAATAGTTAAAGTATTCAATGTTAGGTTATACATACAGCATATGAAGATGTTATATATACTATTTTAGGTTGGAGATACTATATTGATACATGCAGTAAAGGGAGGTTATACTGGTATAGTTAGGGCATTACTCAACAGATATGCTGATCTTGATGTGGAGGGTAATGTAAGTATATTCTACACAGTTGTCTACAATACCAACACTTTATACTTATATTATTATATATCAGTATGCTCTCTTATACACAGAATTTTTGTCTCATTCATTGTTATTCACTGTTACTATGCAAGTTCAATTTATGTTATATTGTTATATATTCTATTTCATATTATTATCTATCTTATACACAGAATTTTTGTTTCATTTGTTGTTTTTCACTGTAGATCTGTTATTCTGCAAGTTCAATTTATGTTATAAATTAAAATGGCTGTGATGATTTAGCATGTTTTTTCATCAGCTTGTCCTGAACTATGAAATGAACTTAAGTATTTTTGTATTTTTCATCTGTCTATATATTTTTTTCTGCAGCCTAAGGTAAGCTATTGCTAGGCTTATTGTGAATGTGTCCAATGTCTCTGTGTGCATTCATTCTGCACTATAAATAAATTCCTCTTTAAAGAGGTACAATGAATACTAACAAATAACAAGAAAATTCTCAAAAATAAAACCAAGAAACCTTAAACTCTTATAATTTATGAACTTCTTTGTTTAAAGTAATAGAATAATATTGCTTATTTGTGGAATTACAAAGGATTTTTATAAAATTTATTGTTGAAGGATCATTTACTTACTTCATTGTTGGATAATTTCTCAGTCCTTTCTTAACAAGTAGTAATAGCTGGATTTATATCAACAGCAAGTTTTATAAGACACTGATGGTTTACTTGACTAGTTATAAAACATGTTACACATTAACAAGACAATTATCTGTATTGTATGTCTATTTCACATTGAGCAAGTGAAATAGTTGCTATACAAATAATAGTGAAACAGAGTTTATGAAGTTGATTTAATTTATTATAAATTGTATTATTTTATATGACTACATGTTAAGAGGTCAGAATGTATACTAAAATGGCCATCAGGGTCTAAACTCAATTACTGGGGTGTTCCTTAGGTCTTCTTCTTTAATGGTATGGACCGGGAAATATCTCACGTTGAAGATTTGCATAAAATCAAACAAAAAAAGAGATATGAATGTTTAGATAAAATTAATACTGATAGAATGTTTAGATTTCACCATTGTATTAAGAAACAAAAAAAATCCCCACTTTAACATATCGGGACTTCAACTCAATTTAATGACAAAATTTTGAGTCGTCAATGTTTACCAGTGAGATACAAAACTTAAAGACCTAATAAAAGGAAAGGGAGATAACTAAACCAGCTTATAGTAAATATATCGTATGTGATAATCACACAACACAGGGTTTCGGGAGATCTCAAACAAACTTATTTGTATTGTTGACTTTCAAATACAACTATGGCAATTAGAATAATGACAAAACATGTTTTCACACATAGGAAAAATAAATAAAATATAACTCGAGATCATAGGTTTCAAATTGATTGATAAACTTTTACTTATTTATGGCAAAAGATTCTCAAATTTTTTTTTTTTTCAGACCAAGTAAAAACTTTAACATGTAAAAAATTGACTCATATATAGGTTTTAATAAAGAATATATAAGAGATAAAGTCAGGACTTACATTTTACTTTAACACATCGAGAAAAAGGACTGTTTGAAGTTCGACACATAGAAGTTCTACTGTATAAAGACAAGAATTCAAGGAGTTTCAAGACTTTTTATAACAGTTAGTCTCATGGATGACTTTTTTGAATATTATACATCAAATTTGTATTTCAATTAATGATTACAATTGTTTATGATAATTATATTTTAACAGAGTAATATTTTACAAATGATATATTCAGGTTATACCGTAAATAATTCATACAGGAAAAGATATCTTAGACTTGTAGAGCTTGACTTAATTTATTAAAAAATCCATTTTATAAGAAATTATTTTCATACTAGAAAGATATTTCATACTAAATATACAAGATGCTTGCACACTTTGTTCTGGTTAGACTATGTTCACATTTGTGCTCATAATTGTAAATCAAAGCACATAGACTGACATTTCTGTGTTAAGTTGTCTGTAGAGTGTGAAGTATTTGTAGTGCCAACATTGTTGCTAAAATAAAAGAAATTGAAACATTGTTCTTTTATGTTTGGACTCTTAATAATATTTAACTGTTACCTATTTTTAGCTTGTCTGTTTCGAAGAAAAAATCAAGCTATTATGTTTGATGGGGCATCGTTGTCATCATTGTTGTGGTGCAAAACTTTATTAGCCATTATACAAACATTTCAAAAGTTATCAATGTGAAACTTGGAATACTTGCATATCTTGACAAAACAAGGGGCATCATTCTGAAAGCAGTATATTTGCAGTTATGTCCCTTTTTAACTTAGAATTTTTAACAGACGAACCTTAACACCGCATGTGGTGCCCTTGTTATGTTGTATTGTGAATTGTAAGAATTGTTTTTAAATATGTCTATATATTTTTCACAGCATGTTTATAAAGTTTTGATTTTCTAAGTGAACATTTTGATTATTTAGGTTTTGGTATATTCAAGGATTACATGAAATTCTTTTAGTGTAAGAATATTTAGAATAGAAGGTATTTATATTATTATAGTTAAAGGTATTAAAGGACAAATTTGCTTGAAACTAAAGTAAATGGTTAATAAATTAAAGTGTTGTTTAGATGTTGAGAGGTATAACATCTTTGGTTGAGTGTTACAAACTGATATATTGGTAAAGGTGCACAGGAAAGTTTGATATGGTATTCACCATGTTCTTGTAAAAGTGTGAAAAATAAAGATATTGGCTAAGGGACATAAGATTAATTATGAGTTGAGTTTGATAGACTTACATATATTGGCAATGGGACATTTTGATGCTAGTGATATTGACCTTGTTTAGTATAATATTTTGAAAGTGGCTAACACGCATGAGAGAGTTATAGTAATGACCACATTGAATGGAGTAAAATTTCATCGTGTCATTTGATACTACCAATATTTATTGTAATAGACATTAGATATCTGTTAACATTTGATAGTTACAATATATAGATATAGACCATGAATCATATAGATTTAGATTTATTGAAAAGGGTTTTGATAATCATCATATTGACCATGTTAAGAGCAATACATAAAGATGATATTTGTTGCGTAGGTATTTAACATGATGAGAATAATAAACTGAGATATCAGTTAAGTTTAGTTTAGTACCTTAAGATTAAACCAAATTTGACGCATGAGAATTCAAAAGTGAGAGAATTCGTTAATACATGAAACTGATGTAATATTGGTAAGGAAAACACTTTGTTTTGTAATAGTGACTCCACCAAAGTGTTAAATATGTTGTGTATATGTTGTTAGAAACCCATATTAACGCTTGTGTGCTATATTACAGGAGAGAAAAACAGCTTTATATTGGGCCGTAGAGAAAAGCCATCCTGACATTGTCAAGTTACTGCTAGAAAATGATGCTGATATGGAAATATCTACTAAAGTAAATATTGTTCCAATAAAGTAAATATTGTTGTATTTATAGTAACTTTTATCTCAATACTTTCAGTGTTGTATACATTCTGTTATTTGCAGGAAAATTTTTAAACATTAATGATTTATGATAACTTGGTTGTGATTGATGTAAAATTCTTATTTATTTGAAGTTTATCTGTCTAGTAATGTTAGGTATTTAATTTTTTTTTATTAGCAAAATGATTAAAGTATTAAAATTTTATGAAGTTGAAAATATTAAAAGCTTATTTAATTCATATAATTCCTGTATAAATGTGGAGATCTCATGGCAATCTGGTAAAGGTTATTGGCTAAAAAGAGCAATTCTATCTCTTATTGCTGAAATGATGCATATATTACTTATGCTGTGCCACCATCAAAACCTGTAAAGTCACCATTATTTCTACTAACCAGTGTCAATATCACTAAAATCTTGACAACCTAGTTAAAGTGTGTGTATATTATTTAAGGATGGAGACACACCACTGATGAGAGCTGTACGTAACAGAAATGAGCTGATTGTGAGATTACTGCTAGATAAAGGGGCAAAGGTCGCTGTTTATGATAAGGTATTGCAAGATAACCTTTAATATTTTATCTCATTTCAAAATTTTAATAATTGTTTTAAGTTGTAAAAACTATTTTGTGATATTTTTACTTGTCTGTTAAATAATCAGCAATGTGAAGTAAAATAATGACATAATGAAACAGTTTAAAAAAAAGTATGTATGAAAAATTGCTGTGTTCACTGTCTTGATTATATTTACCTTTGAAATGAAAAATGCATGACTTTACTGGTATACACAATAGGATCCTCCCAAAATATGTGTCAGTTCAGCTCCTTTGAAAACAATACTTAATCAAGAATAAGTACAAAATGTAAATACCTTGTTGGAAGAGTCTTGATTTTGTAGTTACATAATTATTCACTAATTGATTGTCTTGTGTTTAGATGCTCAATGTTAAACAATTTTGTATAGATATATTTTGATTATTTTACAGAAAGGGGATACAGCTCTACATATATCATTAAGAGCTAGAAGTAAACGTATAACAGAGTTGTTGTTGAGAAATCCTCGTAATAGTCGACTGCTGTACAGACCTAACAAATCTGGAGAAACACCATACAGTATTGATGCCTATCATCAGAAAGGAATTCTTACACAAATACATGGACATAGTGAGTGACTTTTCCTGTTATCCTGTCCCCTAATTGTGAGATTATTATATTTAATTTTTAGCCCACCAGAGTCGAAGGCTCAGGATGAGCTATTAGTATCAAAGGGGGATGCTCCGGCGTCCATTGTCCGTCGTCATGCGTCAACAACCGTCTTCTTCTCTGAAACTACTAAGCAGATTTACTTCAAATTTGGTCTGTAGGATCCTTGTGACAGTCACACTTGAATTTGCTCATGTCATTCCAATTGGCCCCTTTTAGGGGTCAGCAGAGCTAAAAATAGAAAAACCTTTAAACATCTTCTTCTACAGAACTAATGAATGGATGATCACCAAACTTTGTCTGTAGCATCCTTGGGTAGTCTTTTATCAAGTTTGCTAATATAATTTTGATTGGCCCCTTTTAGGGGCCACAAAAGCTAAAAATAGAAATACCTTTAAATGTCTATTTCTACAGAACTAATGGATGGATGATCACCAAACTTTATCTATAGCATTCTTTGGTAGTCTTTTATCAAGTTTGCTTATATTATTTTGATTGGCCCCTTTTAGGGGCTGCTAAAATTAAAAAAAGAAGTATGTTTAAACGTCTATTGCTACAGAACTAATTAATGGATGATCACCAAACTTTGTCTGTAGCATTTTTGGGTAGTCTTTTATCAAGTTTGCTCATATTAATTTGATTGGCCCCTTTGAGGGGCCACTTAAGCTAAAAATAGAAAAACCTGTCAACATCTTCTACTACAGAACTAATTGATGGATGATCACCAAACTTTGTCTGTAGCATTATTGGGTAGTCTTTTATCAAGTTTTCTCATATTAATTTGATTAGCCCCGTTTAAGCTAAAGCTTAAATGCCCCAGGTCATGGCATTTCTTCAAATTATTGTTTAAACATATTCCATGCTCAAATTTAATATTAGAAAATATTGACATTCCAAAACTGAAAAACAGTTGTTTCTGGTGAGCGACTCAGGGCCATTTATTATTTATTTATACGCTGTTACAATAGATTTGCACTAGGGTTATTTTGCATTGATGCCTACCGGTACCTTTTTCTTAAGATGTTTATTTTTTTTATCACTCAAACATTTTGATGGCTTGCTGGTAACATAAACTGGTTGACTGTATTGTTACACTAACATTGATTATCCAAGATTTATCAAATCAGAGTGAATGTGTATATTTAAATACAACAAAACAGCATTTTTAGCAGTGTTTAAAGCAGCACACCTTTTATGGCCATACATTGCTTTGACCACTCAGTCTCTATATCTAAAATATTAATGTACATGTACTTACTTAATTAAGCAGTTAATAGAATGATAATGTAACATTAATGTCAAAAGCTGCTAAAATCAGAAGTGACTAGCCTGCACTCTGAATAGGCTATATTCTGGTAGCTGACTAACTTTAATTTTCTTGTATCTCGTTTATTTTGTCAACCCATCTGTTTTTAGCTCGACTATTCGAAGAATATGAGAGCTATTGTAGTCGCCCCGGCGTCGGCGTCAGCGTCCGCGTCGGCGTCTGCGTTGGTTAAAGTTTTTTGTAAAGTCAAATATCTCAATTATTGCTTGAGATATTCAATTGAAACTTACAATACTTATTTATAGTAACAAGGTACATCAGATTGACAAGTTGGATAACTCTATCTACAATATTGCCAGAATTATTCCCCTTTTTAACTTAGAAATTTTGGTTAAAGTTTTTTATAAAGACAAATAACTCAATTATTGTTTGAGATATTCAATTGAAACTTACAATACTTATTTATAGTAACAAGGTACATCAGATTGACAAGTTGGATAACTCTGCGTACAATATTGACAGAATTATGCCCCTTTGAAACTTAGAAATTTTGGTTAAAGTTTTTTTTGTAAAAGTCAAATATCTCAATTATTGCTTGAGATATTCATTTGAAATTTACAATACTTTTTTATAGTAACAATGTACATCATTTTGCTAAATTGCATATCTCTGTCTGCAATATTTGCAGAATTATTTGCCCCTTTGAAACTTAGAGATTTTGGTTAAAGGTTAAAGGTCTTCAAAGATATTTACTTGAAACTTTACACATGTACTTAGGGTTATAATTTGAGGTTCATAATTGTATGTCACTGACCAAGTTCCATAACTCTATCTTGCATTAAGGCTGATTCATGTCCCCTTTTCTACTTAGTCTCTTGGTTAATGTTTACATTCAAGTTTTACATATCTCAATAACTATTAAAGATATTTATTTAAAACTTCACATATGCATTTAGGGTCAGAATTGTAGGTCACTGACAAAGATCCATAATTCTATCTTGCATTTAGGCTGATTTTTCTTCCTTTTTTCAACTTAAAAAATTCATGGTAAAGTTTTGCTTGTAAGCTGTTATCTCCATAACTACTGAAGGGTTTGTGCCTTTTTTGGGACAATTTTATGCATTCATAATAATAAAGCAGTGATTTACTTGATAAAACATCTTAATAACAAGCCTTTGTACCTTTTCTGTCAATTTTATGTATTCATAGGTAATTAGTATTATTATACTCAATAAAGCACCCTTGTGACATTACCTTCCAAATAGTCAAGCCAATACTGTATAATTAGACTCTCTCTAAGACCTATAACATGAATTTATAAAAAAAAATTAGCCCTTTTGTGAACTTAAAAAATTTAACATTATCAAGGCTCTTTTACTATCAAGCAATTAGAATAGTCGAGCGTGCTGTCCTACCGACAGCTCTTGTTAAATATCATGATTTGCTTACTTCTTCAAATAAAATTAATATTGTTAAATTGTGCAAATATATGAAAGAGGCATTTGTTATTTGAGATTCATTTATAAATAATATGACCTGATGTGCTGTAGTACTTATTACCTTACTGTCTTTGTTATACATGTGTATAACATGTTATACATGATATACTTATGAATAAGTCTAATAAAATGTCTGTTCTGTTCCAAAAATTGATTATGGACAGTTCTTGACAAGTCCTTTGAAAAATTTCAACAAGTTATGGTTAAATATTGTCTATAATTTACAGGGCAATTAAATGCAAGTGATGGAGAAAATTTACTAGGTTATGAGATCTACAGTAGTTCATTGGCTGATATATTGAGTGAACCTTCGTTAAACACACCTATTACAGTAGGACTTTATGCTAAATGGGGGAGCGGTAAATCATTCCTCATTGGCAAACTGAAAAGTAAGTTATTGATGATATAGTTTTTATTTAAAAAAAAATAAAGATTAAGTGTGGTGAACAATTAAGATTCTGGTATTAGGAATGATGTTTAAACAATGAAATATAAAGTAAGGAAGTGCCAATATGTAAGTTAAGCATGATAAGCAAAACCATTCTTAACAAAAACAATACCATTCTTAACTAGTTTGATGTAAAAATTTATTTTAATCATGAACAAAAATCAACAAACTGAACTATTTTTTTTTTTTTGAAAAATTTTTATATACACTGTTATAAAATTTTTATAATCCTAGTATTTTTTTGGGTTTGAAAAAGTCATTCACAAAGGGCCCTTTAATTTGAATTAATCAGCGACATTCCCCATCGTTTATTTATATTTCTTTTCATCATCAAGGGTTTCTTTTAGGCCGCCCATCGCTCTGTCACTGCAGTTATGGGGGGTCGGGCTTGGGTGTTTTGGACTTTTTGGTTTGGGAATTTTGGATTTCGGGGGTAAATTTTTTGCATAATAAATTTAAAATAATTTATTTAAATTTAAAAAACTATATTTTCCCTTTAAAATCTTTTAAAATTTTGATTTTCCCCTTTTGTTTAGGTTTCAGTTGGGCAAATTTAATATTAAAATTTGTGCATGTTAATTGACTTTTTAGAGAAAAAATTAAAACTAGAATAGATAAAAGGTGAGGGTGTTTTAAATTTTCCTTTGCACTTTAAAAAAGGGAAAAATTAGGGTTCTATTTGTGCCCTTTTTTTTGGGTATTTTAAAGGATGAAAATGTTTAAATTGAAGTAAATAATTTTTAAATTTGAATTCTTTTAAATTTATAACTTTTTATTGTTTTGTGCCCTTCTGTGAAATTAATTTAAACAGTTTGGGTTATTACATTCATCGAACTTAATATATCAGGCTGTTCAGAATAGGAAATAAAAAAAAAATACTGATAAACTATTCATTATTATGTTTATTCACATACAACTTGGCTGAACTTGTTAAAATCAATGTATTTGTATTATTTGGCAGGTATTATTTGGATATGTTCAACAAGGTATAATGTACATTTTTGTTGGCGGATAAGTCGGGCAATAGGAAAACGTTTACAGATACTAACTTTACTTCTACAGATATTATTCTGTAATCCAGTCAGTAGAATAAGTTCTAGTACAGATGTTCCTTTAGTCAAGTAAGACACTTAATATTGATATAGTACCTGTCAACATGCTTTAAACTTAATATGGTTTAAGAAATAATGTATCCCAAACTGTGATTATATTACTCAATAACATCACTGTTTGGAGTTTGGATGCTAGGAATAACATCACAAAGGCGTAACCCGAGTGATATAATGATACACATCCGAACAAGAAACTGTGATTTTATCAAGCGAGAAAATTATTGATTTGGATATATTATTTCGATTCTAACAGGACATTAACAGATAAATGCTGCTGTACCTGATATTAAGATAAATTGCGCCTGATTTGTTTCCGTAATTATTTTCAGGGCTTCGCATTTTTAGTGATTACCTCACATATCTAATGATTAAGTCACATGTCTAACTAAAGAACATCAACAGTGATTTTATTGCATAATAACACACACTTTCAGTCCTTCTATATTCAAAAGATGTTTGATTTTGTTAGAATAAATAATAAAAAACATTTGTAGATTCTTAAAAGTCTTGCATATCTTCACTCTTCACACATGAATGATACAAATATTCAGGAAATATGTCAATAGAACAGTTTAAAGAAAACGATTTCCTGTAACTCAATGTTGTCTTAAAAATTAAATTTATTTTAAGAGAAAAAAATATGAACAAATAATGTTTGCCAAAAGATTTTGCTAACTATATAGTTTATACATTTTAAAAAATTTTTCACCGCAGGTTTTTATTTTCTGAGAATACAAAGTTAACAAGTGTTGGTGGGGAGAAAGCCCTGGCGGCAATGATTGCTGGACTTAGTGAATCTGTAGAGAAAGAGTTTGGCATGGTGTCTTCTAGATTATTTGGGGTGCTAAAACATGTATCTGATAGTAGTAAGTGGGCATTTACAAATAAGATATCTATATAACAGATTAAATGGATTTTTAGAAACCTGTAACTGGCTAGTTAAAGTTGCTGACATAGTATCATTTGTGCATCTGCAATACAGCTTTAAATCATGCCAGCGACTTTGGTTTCGATCTTTTGAGGAAGTTTTACTTAAAGTTGGTGGTTTTACTTGAGAGCATGCTCTAGTCTGGAATAATGCATTGACAACAATTTGAGGTTCTTTTCCGTCACATAAGTAACCATATGTAATTTTCAGCGTTAGTGTATTTCAAACTTTTCTCGTTGTTTATTTTTTATCCCCCGCTGAAAAGGCGGCGGGGGATATAGAAATAGTCTCCGTCCGACATTTTTGTCCGGAGCATATCTCTAAAAGTATTTGAGTTATCAACTTGAAACTTCATAGGTGGATAGACCTCATTGAGGAGGAGTGCAGTGCGCACAAGAATGATAACTCTACCCTGCATAATTTTTGAGTTATTGCCCTTTTGTTATTTTTCAAAATTGATTTTTGTCCAGAGCATAACTCCAAAAGCCTATGAGATATCAACATGAAACTTCATAGGTGCATATATCTCACTCAGGAGGTGTGCAGTGCACAAGAATGATAACTCTACCTTTAATATTTTTTGAGTTATTGCCCTTTGTTATTTTTTATACTTAATTTTTCACCTGAGTGGAGCAAAACTCAAAAAGTTTTTGAGATATCAACATGAAATGTCATAGTTGGATAGATCTTATTGAGGAGGAATGTTGTGCGCAAGAATGATAACTCTTCCCTATACAATTTTTGAGTTATTGCCCTTTGTTCTTTTTCATGCTATTTTGTCCAGAGCTTATCTCAAAAAGTATTTGAGGTATCAACTTGAAACTTCATAGGTGGATGGATCTCATTGAGGAGGAGTGCATTGCACAAGACTGATAACTCTACCCTGCATTATTTTTTGAGTTATTGCCCTTTGTTATTTTTATACTATTTTGTCCGGAGCTTATCTCAAAAAGTATTTGAGGTATCAACTTGAAACTTCATAGGTGGATGAATCTCATTGAGGAAGAGTGCAGTGCACAAGAACGATAACTCTACCCTGCATAAATGTTTAGTTATTGCCCTTTTTTTATTTTTCAAAATTAATTTTTGTCCAGAGCATAACTCCAAAAGCCTATGAGATATCATTATGAAACTTCATAGGTGCATAGATCTCACTCAGGAGGTGTGCAGTGCACAAGAATGATAACTCTACCTTTTATAATTTTTGAGTTATTGCCCTTTTTCATACTTAATTTTTCAATTCAATTTTTTTCTCAAAAAGTATTTGAGGTATCAACTTGAAACCTCATAGGTGGATAGATTTTACTGAGGAGGGATGCAGCACACAAGAATGATAACCTTACCTGCATTATTTTTCAGTTATTGCCCTTTGTTATTTTCAGCCATCAGTATTCACATATGTTTCAAATCTGTAATCACTATAGCCATCAGTTTCATTACCAAAAGACCTCTTTAAAAATGGAATTATTCTGGCTCTACTACATATACATTCTTCCAATGAGCAAAACACACTTCGCGGGGGATGGCCATGTTGACATTGGCTCTTGTTTACCTCATTTTCTTTTTGGTGAATATGTTATGATATATTTTGTACACAATTTGTTTTATTTAATAGAGTAGATACAAGTAGGTACTATAAATATTCACTTAAAATTTTGTATAAAACATATCAACAAACATATTCACACTTTTGCGAATGAAAAAAAGGCTGAAATTGAAGGGTCATTAATTTTAAGTATTTATAGTTTTAATACTTACTTCAATTTTTACTCCAGCTAGTGGAATTTTATTTTTCTTCTCTCAAAAAATTTTAAATGTGGGTAAATTATTTGTGAAAAATAAGGAAAAAAAATGTATTTTTTTTATAGCCATTTTGAAATTATTGCCCTTAATGATAATTTTTCAAACTTACATTGGACGATTTTAAAACTATAAGGCTGTTATTCATAATTTTGATCGTTGGGGTTTTTTTACTGTGTTATAATTGTTGGTATATCTCTATTAGTGACATATAAACTCGAGACACATGCTGTAAATGGTGTAATGATAGCATTAGCATGTGTCGTAGGTCTGTCGCTGCTGACTAATATACACAACATTGGTCGAGCCTTTCTATCCATGATTATACCCCCAGAGACCCTAGAATAATAAAAACTGCGGAGCAGTTCATGACATTTTTAAAATTTGACGGGTTTATTTCAGAATTGAAAAAATGAAGTTGTTTTAAAGAATAGGGTTGTGAGACTATTTGATAAATTACGAAAGAACACAAAACGGGTTTTTTTTGGTTTTTTATTTGACGGGGTTTTGATACCCCGTGAAAAGGAAAAAATGCTACAGGTGTTAGAATTTCCTTTCCCACTTTTTAAAAGGGGCAAAAAGATTCCTCCTTTGTTTTTGATATTTTCGGGTAGACCCACAAAATTAAAAATTTAAAAGGGTATTGACCAGAATTTTAAAAGTCCAGAAACCCACGATACAGTGTAAAAGGGTTTTGATTTTTTTATAACATTGTCACCTGCCTTTTTCCCTTTTCAAAGTCAGGGACTGCAAGCTAAGAAACAGCGTTTAACAAAGAGTGTGTCAACGTATGAATTGAACCACGAGTCACCAACTCATAATCATAAATCATACAGGGTATGTATTTTTAAAATTTCATATTCTGTTACCATGACAACCTTGTAATTGCTGTTTGAGAGTAGTTAGTGTTTAAATTCTAGTTTAATTGTACTTCTTGGTAGAACACTCTTTGAACTTTGGTATATGCACAAATCTTCTCCAATGCATTTTATTACAGCTGTTTTACATATAGCCTTTTTGATGTTTTCACGAATTTTGATAGATTTTTAGAAACATAACATTTTTGACTGACATGTCTCTAGTATTTTGATGATTTTGTTAAACATTGGTAATACACTTTATTTCTAAAATTAATGAAACTTTGTAATATATTGTATGCATTCAAGATTTTAAATGTTTTTGCTAGTACTGGTAAATAAAATATATTTAAATTACAAGACAATAATTGTAGGTTGAAACAAAAACTGTAAGTTCTTACTTTTTTCCTATAATACACTTAGTCAAACCTCTGTAATGTCAAATCTTCATATAAAAATGGTGATGGCAAGTGGTCCTTTTAACGAGGCTAATTCTTACGTATATTCATAATTTAAATGAAATCATAAATTGACATTCAGTCACAAAAATGTCTAATTATCACTGTGTATGATTATTCTTGGAACATTTTTTTGTTGTTTACGGCCTTTGTATAATATAGGTTGTATTAGGAGATGGCTTTCCACAGGTTTGACTGTAATATTATAAAACCATACTTTTAGGTTAAAAGGTTATTTATAATTTTTTATGTTCACTTACATTACCTGATTATGGTATTCTACATAAGTTTACCTATTCAATGATAGGTTATGCATGTTGTATCATACAAAGTCAAGTATTGTGACAAAAGAGGAGGGGTTTGACAATTGTGGGGGTGGGGTTAATAAAACAGGCAACAGAAAAGGGAGTTAATTGTTACTGATGTGACTACAGTCGACTCTCGTTATCTCGAAGTCTTCGGGACCGTAAAAAAAATATCGAGATAACGAAATGTCGAGATAAACGTATGAGGGTTTGAACATGTCAAAAACTAATTTTTACAAAAGACATGCGCATACCTTATAAGTCAAATAAGTACGATGTTTCATAATCTTGTGTCAATCCTTATAATAAAAATAACAATTTGTTACATAATTAAACGGATGTTTACCAGCGGAAATACATTATTTAGGTGCTATGTGATTAACACATAGTGAGGTTTACTTAGTTATACACCACTAAAACAAAAACGTTGTTTTCTAACTTTATTAACCAGGTTTTCAATTTTGAAAATCCTGGTTATTAGATTGGGGTATGGCGGGCGGATGGGCGGCTGGGCGGATGGGCGGATGGGCGGGCGGGCGTCAAACGAAATTGTGTCCGCTCTGTAACTCTTCAACCCTTTGAAGAATTTTGATGAAACTTCAGACAAATGTTTACCACATCAAGATGACGTGCAGAACGCATGTTCCGCATGGCTGGCTCCAAGGTCAAGGTCACAGTGACATTAACATTGAAAATCCTGTCCGCTCTGTAACTCTTCAACCCTTTGAAGAATTTTGATGAAACTTCAGACAAATGTTTACCACATCAAGATGACGTGCAGAACGCATGTTCCGCATGGCTGGCTCCAAGGTCAAGGTCACAGTGACATTAACATTGAAAATCCTGTTTACATGATTTTAACTTGATTTTGGCAGTCAAAGGTCATATCATCTTTGGAGGTAATTTAAAAAAAAGATATGATATATTATTTCATGTCTACTTTGTAACTTGTTTTTCATTATACAGAATTATCAATATAATTATAGTGAACAAATTCTTCTGTGCTGAACTCGTCCTACATTTCTCAACGGATTTTGTTCAAACTTTCACAGAAGCTTTGTCATCAAGCACCCTGGCACATATTGTCGGGGTTTTGTGATTGGATAGTTTTTGACCTAATTATGGCCCTTTGTTTTTTTCCTTATACATAATATTATAGTGAACACTTCTTCAGTGGCAATTCCTCCTACATTATTCATGTTTTACATTGCACATAGTTACATTGTTTGTTGCTTGTATTTGTATTTCAAATACAACATATTTATCTACAATGGTGATAATTGAAAACCTGGTTTCATGGCATTGCCATGTTTCTTGTTTATTTATTTATTTAGTACTTTAACATTGCATAATAACACATATAAATTACATAAACACATTTCATAGCAATCATTTTGTGAGAGTAATAGCACATTTATAAAAGCACACAATTTATGAATAGTTAGCACGTTTATTTAATTTACCGATTATTCGATAACAAGTTTACAAACTGATATCACTTGCAGTAAAGTTTATTCTAATGATAGCACACAGTATTAAACACATTTTAATCACTTTTCTTAAAGAATGATGTAATGTCCGTTTGTTTTCCGCATCTGACTGCTAGGTGTTTCCTTGAAATGTATCGCTCGATGTCATCGAATTTGGAAATGATATGGTCGTTGTTGTCTATGGATTCCAGAAATGCTCGAATTGTGTCACATGCCTCAGTCGCCTGTTTAGTAGAAATCTGTGCTGGAGTTGGATCCGTGGATTCGATCGTATCGTCATTGTCAGAATCATCATCTACTGAGCGAGCCTCCAATAATTCAGACAATATGTCATTATCAGAAATTGCTTCAGTTGCCTGAAGTTCATCGTCGATGTTGACGTAATCGTCCATTGACACCCTTGTGCCAAGGATGCTAGCGAGCTGATTCAAAGGAATATCATCATCAGCTTCATCTTCAGACTCAACATCTGTTGTCTGAGTAGATGTAAAGCCAGCATGACGATAGCAATTCTTAATTGTTGTGCTGGTGACTTGAGACCAGGCATGACGCATCATACGAAGAGCGTCTAGGACAGATATACTGAAGTCCTTGTTGTTATCAACTGCTTTTATCTTTTTAGCTACAACCTGCTTCCTATAGTGCACTTTGGTCCATAGGTTGAGTGACATTTGTGGAATTACGAGGAAGAAAGACAAGCTCTGTAGCATGCAGATTTTTTATCTTTTTGGGATGTGCCGAGCAGTTGTCAATAACTAGGGCTATTTTACGCCCTTGCTTGTGCATTTTCTCGTCTACCTCTCTGACCCATGTCTTAAAGAATTTTGCAGTCATCCAAGCTTTCTAATTTGCTTTATACTGAGTGGGAAGGGTGCGAACATTTTTGAAGCATCTAGGTTTTTCTGACTTTCCTAGAACAAGCAATGGCAATTTTTCAGTGCCACTCATGTTTGCACAAACCATAGCTGTTAACCTTTCTTTATTCACTTTTCCACCATGGCAAGCTTTTGTCTTAAACTCGAGCGTCTTATCAGGCATAGCACGATAGAAAATAGCAGTTTCATCTGCATTGAATACGTCATCAGGCCGATATTTTTCCAAAATGGACGGGAGTCTGGATTGCCAGTTTTCAAACTCTTCACCTGTTTTGTCAACAGAGTTTGACTCACCGCTGACTTTTTTGGAAACAAGGCCATAGCGATTTTTAAATCGTTCAACCCAGCCACTAGAACACTCAAAGTCAGAACTAGGGATGCCAAGTTGTTCGGCAAACTCTCGCCCTTTCATCTGAAGTACAGGACCTTCAACAGATATGTTTTGTGATCTAGCATTTTCAAACCATTTCAACATCGCTTCATCTACTTCTGGAAATTTCGCTGTACGTGACTTTTTTCTATCAGGCTCAATGTCTACCGATACATACTTTGACTTGATACTGTCCTTGTTTTTCAGCCAGGTCAATAACGTATTTTGCGGAACACCATATTCTGCGGCTATTTGCTTTCTGCTCTTTTTCCCTTCCTCAACTTCTATAATTGCCTTGTATTTCTCGCTGTATGACTTGGTATTCAATTTTCGTTTGGTACCCTTACCACCAGTTGCTGAGAGTCTGGATATCCCCCCGGATTGGTTACCAGGTCCTTCTCCAGATTTCTCAGCTGTGATTGATCCAGATATCCTCCCGGGTTGGTTACCGGGCCCTTCTCTAGATCGTTCACCTGGTGTTAGATTCTCAGACAACTTTATATTATCATCTGCCTCCGACATTTTCCCAATGTGTTTATATAACGTATTTATATTTCGTATCGTATTTCTTGGACTTTTACAGTAATAATGAATTAAATACAGTGTTCGTATGTTTTATACATAACGGAAAATTCACTCATTTTCGACATAAGTCAATCAACACGCTAATTAGATAAACAATACTTTCAAAACACCTTGACTTGTTACAAACATATCATCATTAATTATTATGACACGCGCTTTGAGTGATAACCGTCCGCTTTGTGTTTTTCACACCTCTGCGAGAGGGCGCAGACGAACAATTATTTGTCGAGATAAACAAAGGATTATAGTGTGAAAATAACTATTGGGACTGAAATATCACATCGAGATACTGAAAAAATCGAAATAAAAATATCGAGATAAAGAAATATATTCAATATAGATAAAGAAGGGGAAAAAACAGGACTTTCAGAATTTGATCGAGATAACGAAATATCGAGAAAAGCGATGTCGAGATAACGATAGTTGACTGTATTTAAAGTAGTGTAAGCTAGGTTCAGATATTTGCTAAATAGTCCACTATATACATTTTACTGACTATGATGTGGTAATTAAACAATAACCAGTATGAAGTGAGAAGTTGTAGTTGATTTTGCTAGACATCTCATTCTTTATTATTCCAACAGTTTATTTAAACAAAAGAGGTTGAAAGAAACATAAATTGAAACAACTTCGCATTTTGTTGCATTTTGTTTCTTAACAAAACACTAATAAAAATAGGACTTTCAAAACACAATGCTTGCTATGCTATTTTAATACTTTCCAACTTTGATGTTATAATACTTACATCATTCCCAAATATTAAATGAGCCAAGTCAAGAGAAAGAAATTTTATATTAGCATTTGAACCATCCATTGGGTTGTTGAAATTTATTTATTGCCAATACCCTTCTCTGAATGCTGAAAATTAAATGAATATTTCAATGCTTAAGTTATGTTTTGTCTCTCAGTTTAGCTAACACATGTTGCACATTTTTTGCCTCACCAGTGCATGATATGATAAAGTGAGGTAGTGGGATCACTTGATGTTCACATGGTGCCAGTCCACACTTTTTATGAACTATATGTATTAAACCAAGTGGCCTGCCACTATCATACTTAACAGGAATTCTCTTTTCTGAGAAAAAAGGGAGTAAACATGATATATTGAATTTGTAGTTTGAGTGGCAGAAATGTATGGGGAGTAAACAGTGTAAATGTTGGCAGGAATACATGGGAAGAAAACATGATAAATTGTAGTTTATGTTGGCAGGAATACATGGGAAGAAAACATGATAAATTGTAGTTTATGTTGGCAGGAATACATGGGGAGATAACATGATACATTGTAGTTTATGTTGGCAGGTATTCATGGGAAGAAACATGATAAATTGTAGTGTTTGTTGGCAGAAATACATGGGGAGAAAACATGATAAATTGTAGTTTATGTCTGCAGAAATACATGTGGAGAAAACATGATAAATTGTACTTTATTTTGACTGGAATACATGGGGAGAAAATATGATAAATTGAAGTATATGTTGACTGGAATTGCATGGGGAGAAGACATGATTGTAGTTTATGTGGGCAGAAATACATGGGGAGAAAACATGAAACATTGTAGTTTATGTTGGCAGGAATACATGGGAAGAAAACATGATAAATTGTAGTGTATGTTGGCAGGAATACATGGGAAAAAACATGATAAATTGTAGTGTATGTTGGCAGGAATCATGGGGAGAAAACATGATACATTGTAGTTTATGTTGGCAGGAATACATGGGGAGAAAACATGATAAATTGTAGTGTTTGTTGGCAGGAATACATGGGGAGAAAACAAGATAAATTGTAGTTTATGTTGGCAGGAATACATGGGGAGAAAACATGATTAATTTTAGTGTATGTTGGCAGGAATACATGGGAAGAAAACATGATAAATTGTAGTCATTGTTGGCAGGAATACATGGGGAGAAAACATGATAAATTTTAGTGTATGTTGGCAGGAATACATGGGGAGAAAACATGATAAATTTTAGTATATGTTGGCAGGAATACATGGGGAGAAAACATGATAAATTTAAGTGTATGTTGGCAGGAATACATGGGAAGAAAACATGATAAATTGTAGTTTATGTTGGCAGGTATACATGGGGAGAAAACATGATAAATTGTGGTGTATGTTGGCAGGAATACATGGGGAGAAGACATGATTAATGTACTTTATGGGGAGAAGACATGGTACATTTTAGTTTATGTTGGCAGGAATACATGGGAAGAAAACCTGATACATTGTAGTTTATGTTGGCAGGAATACATGGGAAGAAAACATGATTAATTGTAGTTTATGTTAGCAGGAATACATGGGAAGAAAACATTATACATTGTAGTTTATGTTGGCAGGAATACATGGGAAGAAAACATGATAAATTGTAGTTTATGTTGGCAGGAAAACATGGGAAGAAAACATGATAAATTGTAGTTTATGTTAGCAGGAATACATGGGAAGAAAACATTATACATTGTAGTTTATGTTGGCAGGAATACATGGGGGAAAAACTGTACATTGTAGCTTTTGTGGGCAGGGATATTTGGGTGAAAAAAAGGGTACACATTAATTAGCAGGGGCATGGGACATAAAATCAAGATTTAAACAACTAATAAGGCGTGGGTGCTGAGAGAAAACACACTAATTAGCAGGGGTGTGGAGCTAAAAGTTGAACTATTTATGAATAATTTGGCAGGGAGACGAACAACAGCACTTTTGTTAGCGTCCTATAACAATAAATATTTTGCTTCTTGGCCCTGCCATTTTAATTGGTTAGTTCTACACTTTTCGCTTTGCGGGGTCGCAGGGCGAAAATACGAATGGCACAAATCAGCCACCATAGTAAAATATAGTTTATATGGACTGAAATACATGGGGAATAAACATGAAACGCAGGAATACATTGGGAGAAAAAATTGCAATTACTTACAATACTATTTTGATAAAGTTTTACAAAAGTGGGCATAGTGTTACACCAACAATATTCATGTTATTCTAAAAATTTACTGCTTAGGACAGGGTGATGTTACCAATACCAGTATAACATTTTATTTATTGAATGGAACATTTAAGATTAAATCAATAGGGGAACAGGTTTATCTAGTCAAACACAGAACTGATCTAAAATCAATGTAGCTTTTTCCCCCCACAACTTTTGCACATAAATCACATATATCAGCATCTTTGCGCTTGTATGCAATGCAATCTGTCCTTTGATTTATTTGCAAACCAATCTCACTCTATTAATTTGCAGTTTTACTTGAGCAGGTATATATCTCATGTTTTTATGTTAACTTACAGCGTAAGGACTCGACTGTGTCTGGGTTCTCGTTGTGTGAAGCAGTCTACCAGGTTCGGTATTGTGCTTTCAGCTTATGTTTTAATTGAGTTTGCTTCACTTTACTTCAGTTTTACCTCACTTTTAGTATCTTGACCTTTTTTCCTAGTGTCTTCACTCAGAGATTGGCTTTTATTTATGGAATATTGAAAAAAATGATTTCCGATAAAATATTTCATCAGTAAATTGCTAGAAACAGTGCTGTTTATTTTGCTTCTATTTCAGTAGAAATATAATTTTATAATTTATGTTCTTATATCATAATTTCATTTAGGCTAACTATTTTGTACTTAAAGCACAAAACTTTTGAAAATGGATAAAGAACTGTGACTGAATGAAAAAAATGTCCCTTGAAAAGTTGAATACCTTAACAAAGAAGAAGCAAGTGTAATCAAAATTAACATGATAATTTCATGTACATAAGATTCATTTCTTTTCCTGTGTGTTTCTTACCTAACTTCTTTGATTATCATTAACTATGAAAATTAAAATTTTTCTAATTTTGATTGTTTTTTTTTTGTGTGCTTATTCTTGATTTTACCCTGACAGAGTTGATTTCCTGTGAAAAATCATACATATACAGTGTATTGATATTGAATATTTGACAGCAGGAAGTAACCTTAGAGATGATTGGATAAGAGTCAATTTTAAGTCTGTATATTGTGAGGCCAACAAATTTGGCATAATCATAGTTTCATTTATGTGTGTGTTTGTTCATTTAAATGATTCCAGACATAGCTCAAATAACTTGGTACAAATGTTTGTCTGTAGTTTGAATGATATAAGATGTTGTAAGCAAGAACCATTTTGGTTGTCAAAGGTCAGGGTTACAATAAAGAGCCGAAGGTCAAAATTTTGCGCAGAATTGCTCGCTTCTCAGAGCTGTAATTTACCCAAGCATTAAGTAATTCCAAATATGATTTGGTGTGAATATTTGCTTCAGTAAGATTGGCTCTTGTTTGCAAGAACCAGATTGGACATTTAAAGGTCAAACTTTGGGCAAATGTCAATGTCTGGTTTAATTTTGCTTGACCAGTTTGACATGTAGAAATTCAGTAATAATGTGGCACAATAGTTAAACCACTTTAAGACAGTGTCTTCTGTCCTTAATAGTTAAAAGTCATATTTCAGAGGTCAAGGTAAATAGTGCACACAGACTTTGGATATCCTTTTGGCAATTGACGTGCTCACTCAGTTTGCTTTACATATTTTATATAATTGAACAAGTTTTATGAAGGTAAAAAATTTAATAGAAAGAATATTTTAAGTTTCACATAACAAACTTATTTTTTTTTTTTACAACCAGTAGCTTATTTTCCTAATTTTCATTATTTGCAATATACATATAAAGCAGTTGGCAGAGATGCTTTGTTTACTTTTACTTTGATTAAATTAAGCATAGTAGATTAGTTATCATTATTGTAAATTTGTGATATTTAAGTCAAAAGAAAGAGAATAGTCTATTTTCAAATAATTAAAATGATATGGTGTAGTAAAAAAATCATCAGTTGGATGTTGCAATATGAGTTACACTCATATGTACAGCAATGATTTAATATAAAAACTGAACATATTAACTCCACACTTAAATAGGTAACATATTAGTTTGGAATAATATACAATCTTTGTTTGCTCTTTTTATTGTAAATTCAATTAGAGTCAAACATTATTTATATACTCTATCAACTGTTTAATTTCTCCATAACTTTTTCTTCAACATTAATCTAAAACAATGTTATTAATGATAATATTAGATTGACATAGAGTTGGTTTAAGCAGGAAATGAACGATTACTTTTCATTAGATGTTACTGGAGTGAGATCAGCATTTCAAACTTTCAGCTTGCATTGTTTATACAATGCACTTATCTTTATTTTCTGGCTGTCATATTTGCTCACCTGGCATCTGTGCTAACCTGGCACCTGTGCTTACCTGGCAGCTGTACTCAGCATGGATATCATTACTGGATCAGGATATTGTTGGCTTCTACACCTAAGTCATTCCCTGTAAATGACTATTTTAACATTCTGAATGTCTACACTTGCACCAGACTGATATGTTATGTACTATGTATGAACAAATTCTGTTGTATAGAGTGACTTGTGTAAACAGATCATGTTACGTTAATTTTGTAGAAATTTAAATTCATGTTTATTTGAAGGCTTACTTTGAAGAATGAGTTTTAGAGTTGCATCTGGGGGATATAATAAGTATTATTTATTTAATCCATTTATTGACATTTCTCATTTTGACTTTTCAGGAATGTTAACCATTAGACTGATTCTGTATTATGTCTTGTCAGACTGTAATGAATACGTTAGTTGACCAGACAATAATTCTAATACTAAATTTTTATATTCTATGTGAAAAGTTAGTGTTACGGAAAATTTTTAAGTAGGTTATAGAGTAAATGCACACTAAAATTAATGTAAAGTTATTTGTATTTCTAGCACCAAGATTCAACGGTGTCACAGATCTCTGGGTTCTCAGTTATAGATCCGAGCATAAAGAAGGGTCGTTCCAAACCTCGTAATGACAGTCTGACACAAGTAACCCACTCAAACTTCGATATTTCACACACGTTAACCAAGAACGACTATTTTAGTGATATCAATCCTAAAAGTATGAGACGATTAATGAATATAGTTGCTGTTACTGGTAAGTTATATCTCTTGTATATCTTTAAAGTTATACATTGTACAAATACAGTGATTTCTAAATTTATTATCTAAAAGGATCAAGTCGAAAAGAAATCTGTATGATTTTACTGTCTTATATTGGACTCTCAGACCAGAAAATAGAAAGTTCTTAAAAACATCATTTACCAAGAGTATTCTTAATCATAACAGTAAAACAACACTGAATATTCTCTCTTCTAAATTTTTGGATAGATTTTTCTTAATATGTCTGGACTCTTTGTATTATTTAAAGTGATTAAATTTATTTTTGATGCTCAATTATTTCATTATTTAGGTTGACAGTTAAAACAGCTTTATATGGACAGATAATTCATTTTTGCACTCTGATATAAGAAATGAGCCGTGTCACGACAAAACCAACATAATGGGTTTGCGACCAGCATGGATCCAGACCAGCCTGCGCATCCGCGCAGTCTGATCAGGATCCATGCTGTGCGCTATCAGTTTCTCTACTTGTTATAGGGTTTGTAAGCGGACAGCATGGATCCTGATCAGACTGCCAAATGCGCAGGCTGGTCTGGATCCATGCTGGTCGCAAACACATTATGTTGGTTTTGTCATGACTCGGCTCAAATCATATTTCAGGACGTTTGTTGAGAGCATATAACATAGATTTTAACTGGTATCGCCTGGCAGCCTGGGTAAACCTTGTAGAACAGTGGCCATACAGATTGTCCTGGTGTATTCTCTTCTTTGAGGAACATGATGATCTTAATGATGATGTTACATTGAAGTTTATATATGACAAGTATGTACACAACTATATATCTATGTCTATTTATGAAAAGATTTTTTATCATAAAAAGATTAATCATATTGTCTCATAATATTTCAATCATTTGACATCTGTTTACTTACATCTTGCAGTTACATGTTACAAATACATGTATAAAACTAATTTCTTAGCTGAAATCTGCAAATTGACATTGCAATGTTAGGTTGATTGATTTATTATGGCACTAATATATAAAATTCTGTTTGTTTAAATATGTAAAAATTTCTATGTATTTTCGTTTTTAGCCATTTACTTCCATTCTCACAGAGCTATTGAAATGAAACTTAATGGTAGCACCATAATGACTTCTACTTGCCAGATCAATTGTCAGGTCAAAAGGTCAAAGTCACTTGGACCTGTAAACAAAACATAAAACTGGCCATCTAATTAGAGGCATTTACCTGGGAACTTTAATCTGTATGTAGATGCACCTTCATGAATCCCGCCCATTTTTGGATCAAAATGTCAAATGTGAAGGTCACCTTTATGTCTTACACCTAAACTAAAATAGGTCATTACATTAAAATAGGTCATTTCAATAAACATTTGTTTTAAATTACAAACTATCTCTTCATTTAGAACATGTGCATTAGAACATGTGCAGTTCACTATCCAGCAGTGAGAAAAGTGCATCATGCTGCTACTCAGACAGCTCTTGTTTCTACAGGTTTCCAGCTATTGATTTGCAGTAATTTAGTAACATTGTAGTCTGTTTCCTACCTATGTAAGTCTACTTTAATATTAAATGTTCCTTTCATCAAGTGACAATTGTCACTTAGTATGTGAAAACAATGTTCATTTATTTGTATTATATATTAAAGGATTGAAGGTCAGATGCCAAGTTCAAGTGAAGTAGAACCTCTGTTAGAGATTGACAGGAACGTTCGAAAACTACAAGTTTTCCTCGGTAGCAAGTCGGCTAGTTCACCAATGTTAAGCATTGCTGACCTGAAGAAATTCCTTCCATGTACAATAAATCTAGACCCCTACCTGAGAAAACTTATCAGAAGTGAGTGTTAATTATGGTCTTCTTGTTATATTTCTTTCATTATCTTGTATTTTCATCTTGCTTACATTATTGGTTTGTATAAAGAACGTCTTCGAGGGGCAGCATGGCTGGGTGGTAAACATATCAGACTAGTAATCTAAAGATTGCTGGCCGAATGGGTTTGCCATTCATTCATTGCTTAGTACTGGTTGGTTCCAGGAGCAGATTCTAGTGTTTCAGTAAGCTTATAGCTTCCAACACAATCAAAGTAATAGAAATTTGTATAAACTAGACAAAGTCATATTTTTCCTAAATGGAATTTTATCAGCTTTGAAAGGAGAACATTTTACAATAATATGTATCTGTTTGCATAATACTGCTTGCTTTATGAAAGTAGTTTAAGCATGCAAATGATGTTTTAATTTTGTCAAGGATAATCTGGATACATGATCTGATTATGCAGAATGTCAAACAGTATATTTTTTGAGAATAGTGATTTATATTTATTCACCAATGTTGTAAATTTTGTTATACTTGAAAACAAATTTTCTACATTTAATCAGCTAATATAACACATATAAGACTTCTTATTATCAGGATACACATACTCTGTTATACATGTACTGTAAATTATTATGTTTACAGATCTTCAGCAACAGTTGAACCAGTCTGAGATCCCCATGAACATATACAGTCAACCTCCAAATCTGACTCCCTCAAAACCCAACCAGGAATCAAATCCTTATTTGAAATCTAGCCTCCATAGAACTCCAGGGAAACAACCAATAGGAGCTGTGTATCCAGGTCACATGATGCAATATGGACCAATGATGTATCCTCATTTAATGGGCATGCAAAATCCTTATATGATGGGGATGGGAATGGCAGGGTCAAGTCATCATCGACCTGTCGCAGAGCAAACGGAATCGGTGAAGAAGTTTGTCAATCCAAGGCAATATATCACAGTCAGTACAATTATTATATTAGTTTATTAGTTAAAACACAAAATACTAGATTAATGAACTTGATTTTGAACTTTCTTATTTTCATTTGTAATTTCTTAAAAAAGGTGAACAAAAATGTAAATCTTTCAATTTTGTTAAGATTTTTTGAGAGTGTGTATTTAAATCTGAAGTGTTACTGTAACCTATTGTATTAGTATGTTTTATATTGCAGGGATATACGGGTGAGGTATTGAGTAAATTAAATACTGAGGAAGTGTCAAATCTTCTAGCTCGTATTGGGGGTATAAATCTCCAACAGTTACCAATATATCAGGAAGCTGTAGTAGACAATAATATAAATGGTATGGTTTTAACTGACTGTGACCTTGATGATCTTGGCAAGTGTTTACAAATGAAATTCGGAGATTGGCAACTTTTCCGCACTGCAGTAAAATCATTACGAGATGCTGAAGTAAATTTGCCAGAGGTTTCATCACAGGATGACATTGAAATTCGACCTCCTGCCACAAAAAAGAGTAAGTCTAGCTCAGACAATGTACCGAGAACCATTCACTTTTCTAATTCTGATACAAACAGCCCACCTGAAAGTAAGAATAGTGCAGAACAAGTGAGATCTAGAGGAAAGTTTAGACGCCAGTCAACTGTAGACACAGAAAAGAGTTCTAATTCTGCATTTGATGCGATTGAAGAAGAGATTAATGATGAAGAAGAAGAAATGAAAGCAAGAGCAAAGCCAATGAAGAGAAATGATAGTGTTGTAGCACAGATGATGTATGAATCTAGTTTGTTGAATGAGTTTGTACATAACTTTACAGAGAATAACTCCGGTGAAGATGATAACTTTGAAGGTGAAAGCGATGAGGAAATGTTTCCAAATGGAGATGTAGTAAGGCTAATTAGACCAGATAGTGATATAGTTCAAACATCACCTGTAGAGTTCAGTTTGTCTGTTGAACATCATTTTGATGATGAAAATCAGTCACCCATTTCAAACAGTCAGGACTCGGAAAATGAACCTCTTCTGGCACATGCAAAGAGTGGGAAGAAATCGACTGGTTTCAGTGACCCTGCATCTAGTATGAACCTTTCAACAGGGAAGACAGCAATATATGATGAATCCTCCAGAGGAAAAAATGTACATTCTGAGCCAAATCTCATGCACCATGAGAGACAGCATTTGCTAAAATCTTCAAAAACTTTGTCGAGCGAATCTTCAGGGTTTGCTGATACCAGTTTATATCCACAAACATCTGTTAGTGATAGTTTAGACTGTCTTTCATTGATAGATGAAACACAGGAAAGCAAACAGGGCACCAGTCTTGAGGAAAGTATACAAATGTATACAATGCAAAAAGCGGAAGGTAGTTCAAGTGCAACAGATGGTCAGTTTAATTCTGAGCGTCAATTGATTACCAGTAAAGATGGAAAGGGAGAGGAGAAGTTACCCAGTGATTTTGTTTAACTCTACAATATTGTGTGATATGCACATTGCAGAAGTCTTGTCTTTCAAGTCATGGAATTTGGATATTTTGTTTTAAATCTTGTGGACATATTTAAGATTTAACACAAAGATAATGATTGATTTATTATAATTATAGCTTATAGAAGGTTTTAATGATTTTGTTGTCAATGGGAATCATGTAATTATATGATTTTTATCTGTTATTTTTGTATGGTCTAAATTTCAAGTATTGAAAAATGGTGTATTTTGATATTTGTTAGTAGTTGTTTGAAGTGGAAAGTTTGGGTTTACTGAAGTACTGTCTTATTGACCTATGAGAGTACAGTTATGACAGGACTTTAGTAAACCCTTAAATGTTCAATTATCAGTCTCTACAGATCTCAAATTATTTGTAGATTATAAACATGTTATACATATTTAAGTTCATGTTAAGAACAATTTTCAAACTGGTTTATTATGTTCAGGTTGATAACTCTGGCATAAATATGTCATAGTGTTTTTTAAAGAGTTTATTTTTTAAATAAACCTTTAAACCTAGTTATAAGTTATAACTTAACACATTGTTAAATAAATGTGCATGCCTTGCATTTAAAAAAACTGTTTTAATTTATCGAATAATTATTTTAATTTATCAGTAAACATGGTATATTGCTCAACAAAAGTCAATTATAGGCAACCTTTATTGAATAATTATTCTAAATTTGTCTGTGATCGATTTTTTTCTCTTTAATACGCTGAATTGCATACAAAAACCACTACAACAAAATTTTATTAATTTTGAAGTCAATGAATATAGGGCCAGAAAACCACAAGCCATTCAGACTAGTGGTAGGAAAAATCTACCAGCTCCATTAGCTTTTAACAAGCCTCAAAAATTAAAGTGGATAGTGAAATCTAGAAAAATGACAGTTATTTTGCAATTAATTTCCCAGAACCAAGGATAAATAAGTTGTTTCATTTGAAATTCATTTTCAGAAATTAAGGTGATTGACTGTCAATTTTTCAGAGGCCAGTTGATTTTGTTACTTGTAATTTTTCAACTGATATTATTCTTCTAGCCTGGGCTAGTGGACTACTGATCAATTTGCAACCTGTACTAAGACGTCATGTTGCAATAATAAGAAACATCTAGTACATTAGATATGTATGAAGTTATATTCTATTCTTGTGTGTATAAATTTAGAATTGATTATAAGCATGGTCACATTTTCAGTAATACTGTTTATACTGTAATAAGCTAAACTGTATTTCTTAAGAATATTATTTTTTTCTATCATTATTTTAATAATGTGCAATGTTACAAAATTGTGTTATTTGATATTTTTAAAATCAGGTGTCACTTTGCATTTAGTAAACTTTATGCATTTTGTTTTCTTTGTGTTACTTCACGTACGCAGATCTTTGCCATCTTTTTGTAACTCCTTGTAGACAAATGGTGTAACTTCATGTAGACAGATGTTTGCCTACTTTGTGTAAATTCGTGTAGACAGATGTTTGCCTACTTTGTGTTAATTTGTGTAGACAGATGTTTGACTACTTTGTGTAAATTCATGAAGTGTTTGTCTGCTTTGTGTAAATTCATGTAGACAGATGATTGCCTGCTTTGTGTAAATTCATGTAGACAGATGTTTGCTTTCTTTGTATAGACAGATGTTTGCCTACTTTGTGTAAATTCGTGTAGACAGATGTTTGCCTACTTTGTGTAAATTCATGTAGACAGATGTTTGCCTACTTTGTGTAAATTCATGTTGACAGATATTTGCCTACTTTGTGTAAATTCGTGTAGACAGATGTTTGCCTACTTTGTGTAAATTTGTGTAGACAGATGTTTGCCTACCTTGTGTAAATTCATGTAGACAGATGTTTGCCTGCTTTGTGTAAATTCATGTAGACAGATATTTGCCTGCTTTGTGTAAATTTGTGTGTAGACAGATGTTTGCCTGCTTTGTGTAAATTCATGTAGACAGATGTTTGCTTTGTAACTTGTAAAAGAGCGGTCATATTTTACAATCATATTCATATCCTATGATATATGCAAAAATTTTACAAAATTTTACATTCCCTGTTTTCTTAACTTACAGTTTCCTATGGAGAAAAACCATTCCTTACTTCTCTTATAGAGAGGTTAAAGTGTATAAAGCTTTATCCCAAAATACCTGTATGGAAGAAATTTGTTGTTATATTTCCTTAGGGGCAATTGGGACATGCACAAAATCATTGTAAACGATAAAAATCCTAATTAAAATAGCTGCATAATATTGATTTCTGGAACATTTAATACATTTGTATGCAATATTCCTGTGTGTTGAATAAAATAAACATTTTATGTTACAACATATTTTTCCTTTTTTTAAATTTTATAATAAATATTTTATTACATATAGATTTTTATATGTTAAATGTTACCTGAAGAACATATATTTTGAATTTATGAATTTTAAGTGTTGATTCTAATTTCTTTTGTGTGTGAAACTGGAATGTTTGTCAGGAACTAATTTCAACACAAATTTCTACTTGGGAACCAATAATGTCATGCTGGTCCTGATTTATTGTTACTGGCTTTGGATAAAAGAATCAAGATTTAGATTTAAAATATATTATACGAAAAACCCAACATTTTTAATAGAAATAGACATGTATATTTGCTTTTCGTTGAAGTTTTGTCTCTTCTACTCTCTACTTTGAATTCCATGGTTGATTATTGTAATGAGTTCTGTTTTGTAAACACTTAAACAGTTATATAACTAAAGTTGCCATGTACATTAGATTGTTACAAGCATTTTTACTGCATTTTTCAAAGGATTGTAAAAGGTATAGTTTGTATAGTTAATTATATTTTGCTGATTTTATAAAATAAATTTGATATGAATTTTGTAAGAAAAATGTTAGTTATTGAAACAGTAATCAACTAGTATTTTAGAGTCTGATCTAATCCTGTGCAGCCTTTATAGAGTCTGATGTTTTGAAGACTAGACTTTATTACAGTCTGGTCTTATTTAGACTAGCCTTAAATACTGTACAGGCTGGCATGACTTTCTAATGATAGAATTGGCAAGTTGCTGCCATTATGCCTAGAGATAGATATTCTATGTATAATTCCTGTATAATATAAAGAACATTACTTTAAGTAATAATATAAAACATTGTTTTTGCTTTCTTTTTTAAGTTGTATTCTACAGTGGTATCGTTTGTTTGTTCATTTTGTTATATTTTAACTAGTTTGTGTTCATAATTTTTGCTTAATTGCATACTGCTTTTGATAAAAAATATGGCGGCTAGATTGAAGTACAGTAGCTAGTTGTGGGGCAGTTTGTATGGGATACTGTGTGGTAGATTGTCTATAGGAAACGGGGATAGATACTAACTAGTGTATATAGCTGTACAGGAGATATTTAAGATTGAGATGTAAAGAACAGACCGTTTTTCACCAATGTTAATCAGTGTTTAACTTTGTATGACACTACCATAATCTATCTAGAAGTATGTCTTTTATTTTAATGTTACAGAAATTGTTGTATTTGTTTTACTGTTTTTTTGCCATTTGTTTATATTTTGTTGTGTAGTGTAATGCTTCTTTGTAAAATTTTGTGTTTATTGAAGTATTTCTTATAGTTATAATTTAGTACTAATACTAGATGAATATCTTATATTAGTACTAGTACATTTAGTGTCTGTTTTAAGATGGAACAATCAAATTTTTTCCAAAGACTGTGTCAGTAGAATTTAAGTTCATTTAGACCATTTACCAATGGCAACACAAGTATAGGCATTATTTTATTACCTTCAGGGTTTTTGCTTATTTGCTTAAACTGTAATACTGGTCTTCATTTCTTGTTAAATACAGAACCTGATAGGAATTCTGTTTTATATTACTTATATATGTCTAGTATTGAGAATCGCAACCCTTTCTGGTGCAAGATAAGTTACTTTTGTGTTTTTCTTTTAAGTAGAAAAATACCCATCCTCTTTCAGATCAACTGAGCAAAGTGCTTTCATGATTGTCCTATGTCTGTTGTGTTTCACCTCTCGTCAAGTTGTGAAAATAATGGCCCAATCCTGGGTCACTCTTTTACATAGACATATAGCAAAAATCTTATGAAAATTATCTTGCCAGAAACTGTCAAGGCTTAGAGCATTTGAGTAGGTCTGTCCTCAGTTCAACTTAATCCATTGGAACATAATTTAACCTATCCCAGTAGACATGTTTTACCAGTATGTAGATTGAAACACTTTTTGTCTTGACTGCATAACTTAGGAATGTGATTTGTAGTACCACCTAGTTGTTCAGTTTCACTGACTCCTTGTATTAGTTTAAAGCAGTACTTGTTAACTTTGATTGTAAGGACTGTATATTTTTGTGTTTGGAAGTGAACTTACACCTTGAGTTACTGTTTGACCCAGTGACCTACTTTTGCATTTCTTTACAGTGGTGATTTTGTACTTAATCCATGACCCTATGACATTTTTATTAAGTGTATAAATTATGGCTTTGTCTAATCACGGTTTTCAGGTTTAAGGGCATTATGACTCTCATGTTAAATCATAGAATAAAACAATTAATGCACAACTCATGAATTAACTTCTCAATATTTGAATAAACTGTTGAATGAACCTGTATTTAGTTATTTAACTTGTATATGAAGGTTATGATACTGTGTTGAATACCTATGATAGGTACTGTAGTTAGTACAGGAGCTGAGCTCTTGTTAAATACTTTGTTGTGTAGATTTATACAATAAATCAGGTACTGTTATTGTATACATGTACTTTATATTGTATAGTAAAGACACTTGTTGTTATAAAGATGACTCATTATGTTAATGAGAATCATCTTGTTGTTTATAGATCAAAAATATTTCTATCAAAATATAAAGATAAGCACTGACAACTTGTTGTTTTGTTTTCCACCAATTTCTATTCTCAACATTGAGTTCACAATGTTAAATTAGAATAACTGGTAACAAGTGGCCAGTTTAATGTGAAGAAAAATCAGGGTGATGAAAATTGTCGAAGAATTGTGGTAATTTAAATTAGATAGATAAAACAGACACAACAACAACAGGTAGCAAGGTTTTAAAACCTTTTTTCTTGCTCTCACAATTTACATTGGTCAGTCCACATTCTATCTGATTTTGATAAAATTTCTCGATAAACTAGAAATTGAAGTAGAAATATATAGAATCTAGGCACAGATAACCCTACAATTCACTGTTGATGGTTAGCAGGACAGCATCATATACCAACAGGCAAATCTATACCCTACCTTATTAGTAGGTGCATAAAATACTTTCAATATTCCTGTCCAAAGTCAGAATATACATCTTTCTCAAATTGTGTAATGATATTGCTCTAACCTATTATGTAAAATTAACTTTCTTGCTTTGTTTGCATTAGAGCATTCAAGGCGCGATATTTGAAATGTACTATAATACAATCTTGAAACTTAAGTAAAAAGTTTTGCATGTGGTATTGAACTAGGATACCGTAACCCCTAAAAATGACATAATGACGACTGGATTTTTAAAATAAAGACATTGTCTAGCAACAGGTCGTATATGAGAAATCACAGGACATCATAAGCTTTTTGTTGTGAATGAATAACTACTGGTGGAAATTTTTCAATGGTTAGACTTGATTAGTTAGCAAGTTATTTACCAAATGTAAATGATAAAAGTCAGATTGTAGGTTGAATAGGAAGATGACTGGCTAAAGATTCTGTGATAAAGCCTTACTGACAGATTCCTACTCTTGCCTTTTATTTAAATTACACTAAATTTCACCACAAACACTGACATGTGTTCTATTTTTAACAAACATGTTTTGGTGAATTCTTATTGTAATGATCTACTCTGATAATTTTGGATAAGACAGGTTAGGGCCATATAGGATTCTATCAATGTACAAATGTAATACATGTAGTGAACAATGCAGGTAGCATGAAATCAGTAATGCCGGTTTACTTTAAAGTATTGTAATAATTCTCTTGGAAAGATAGCAGCATTTTAAAGAAATGTATAAGACATTCAAACAACACATATACTACTTGAAACTAAATTCTTTACTTTTCTCAAGTATTTAAACATGAATAGTACAATAGAACAATATGTTATTATAACAATAATTCAGCTGATCAATTCAATGGCAGTAATCAAGCATTTTGTGTAACATAGTTTGAAAAGTTGAATTTTTTTTTTCACAATTAAGATATCAATAATTTTTGTAAACTCTCATTTATAAAGGCTTGAAAACTGAAAAGTATTACAAACACATTAACCATTACATGTAATGAAATATAAAGTCCAGGATAAAAATGAATGGTTGAAATAAAACTGTAAGGAAATTTAGTTAATTAAAATTGAGGCAACTCGAGGGATAAGTGTTATCAATATTACATAGCAAGCATGTGGAGATGTACAATCAATGGAAATAAACAATGTATTTATGCCATTTACAGTGTAGTGATGTCATGAACAGTATACTTGTGTTACAACAATGTACAGTCAAACTTGTATTAAGCGACCAAGCAAGGGAAACACAAAAAAAAGTTCTTTCAATACGATGGTCTTTTAAGCATGAAAAAACGTAAAAATTTAATATTGATATCTTTCCTTTGAAATAGGAGTTTTTCAACACTATATACATGTGTAAGTATCAACAAAGCATCATATGTATCATCACAGAAGGGGCAGAGCGTTGCTTTGCTTTACCGATTTTATTGGATAATACACATCACACATCATACTTAACTTCATTTGCATATGCTAGAAGTTTGGGAATTTAAGGTTTTCACACATACATTGTACTTTGGATGTTGAATCTTGTAATCGCATAAGGTAGCGTTCTATAAAAAAACAAAGACTATAGACATGACAGGTAAAAATGGATGCTTGATGAAAAGACTAATTAGATAGCTGGTGCCTTGAGCTATTGGCTTAACACATTAAAGATACAAAGAGAAAGTGGTCATGTAAGTCAAAAGTTGCTTAGTACATGTGATCGCTTGGGCAAGTTAGGCTGTTGGTATGTCATAAACAGAGTAGAAATGTGATTAAATATGTAGTTATACCATAAACAGTACATTTATAATTATCATGAACTGTGCAGAAATGCAGTTATGAAATATATAGTGCAAAAGGTTTGCATTTTGAAGGAAATTTGGCTATTTATTTGTCTGTATTAAGAAAACTTATTTATTTCAAAGCAAAATTTTGCTGAAACTAATGTGATATAGCAGGTAAATCTGATATACTGACTGATACATGTATAATCTATAAAATATACTCCATTCATTAAATCTAGATATTCATAGGAAAATATTTTCATATATTTGTCATTGACAACAGTAAGAGAAACACCCTCTTTAAAATAACTTCTTTTAACAAGTTCAAGTTAAACATTTGTAACTAATCACAGATGTTCATAAATAAACTAATGTATGATAAAATGATCAATGAAATAACCTTCCATACACCATAGTGTGATATATATAGAGGATATTGAATGAGTGTAAGTTTAATAACGAGTTGAATAAAATTATATTATGCGAGCCTCTGGCGAGCATAATAGATCTATTATTTTATTAAAAAGTTCAATAAATTCAGTTATGAACTTACACAAATTTTATATTCTGTTTATCACATACTAAAAATATAGACTGTTTGAAGTGAAAAAAAAACATTTTTCATTGACACGCACGCCTATAGAGTAACGCTAATATTTAGCGCATCTTATGTTTATATTTATCTTACGCAAATGACGTCACATCAAAATATATGCACGGCCGTGCAATACCATTTTTACCGAGTCGCAAAAAGGGCATTGGTATGTGATAAATGTGCATCACAGTACATACAACAAGAGCTGTCACAGGAGACAGCCAAGCTCGACTAATAAAATACTGGACGCAGTAAGGAGGACAAAACTATGAAAGAAAAATCAATTATGTATAATAATGTATTAAGTTATAGTAAAAAAATAAAATTTGTTAACATAAATTCCAAGATCAAGGGGAAATAATTCTAGAAATAGTCACGCTAGAGTTATGAACCTTGTCACACAACATGTGTGTTATGATAAGAAATATATATTTGAAGTTTGAAGTAGATACCTTAAAAAGTAAATAAGTTATAATATTTCTTAAAGAAAATCCTAAGTTCAAAGTTAGATAAATCTGTAAATATTGATTCAAGAGTTACGAACATTGTCACATTAAATGTAATTGATGATAAGAAATAAGTATTTGAAGTTTGAGGTAGATACCTTTAAAACTAAAAAAGTTATAGTAAAAAATAACATTTTTCTAGTAAAAAAATCTAAGTTGATGGGGAGATAATTCTTGCAATATTGGTGCTAGAGTTATGAACCTTGTCACATAAGATATGGATGGTGATAAGGTACATATATTTGAAGTATGAAGTTGATCCCTTTAGAAATAAATCAGTTACAGTAAAAAATAATGTTTTTTAAGGAAAATTCTAAGTTCAAGGGGAGATAAATCTGAAAATATTGGTGCTAGAGTTATGAACCTTGTCACATAAGATGGGGATGATGATAATGTACATATATTTGAAGTATGATGGTGATCCACTAAGAAATAAATAAGAAATAAATAAGTTACAGTAAAAAATAGTATTTTTTAAGGAAAATTCTAAGTTCAAGGGGAGATAAATCTGAAAATATTGGTGCTAGAGTTATGAACCTTGTCACATAAGATGGGGATGATGATAAGGTACATATATTTGAAGTATGAGGGTGATCCCTTAAGAAATAAATAAGTTACAGTAAAAAATAGTATTTTTTAAGGAAAATTCTAAGTTCAAGGGGAGATAAATCTGAAAATATTGGTGCTAGAGTTATGAACCTTGTCACATAAGATGTGGTTGATGATAAGGAACATATATTTGAAGTTTGAAGTTGATACCTTAAGAAATGACAAAGTTATAGTGAAAAATATTTTACTGCACCAAAACTTTAATCTGAAATATGGACGCGGACGCCGACGCCGGGGCGAGTAGGACAGCTCTCCATATACTTCGTATAGTCGAGCTAAAAATTGAAGTACCGGCATAAATAAAACTAAGATAAATCACATATTTTTGCATAAACAAGTTGATGTAAGATCAAGAATTCTGCTTGTTCTGGAAGTCTGCTGTAAAAATTGTATCCTTTTCACGTAATTTTGCCACCAATTTCTTGCGATATTTTTCCCGTAGTCTGCCAAACTCCATAATGTCCTTGGGTTTCTCAGCAAACCAGAATGAATCAAAGTTATAGAACACATAGCCTGTAATATATGATATACAGCTTCAATAGTATATTCTATCTACTGCCAAAAACTTAAACATACATGTATAATTATTAAATATTTCATGATCAATTATCAACATACAATTTTTAATTTATCAAACAAACATTCATTTTAAACTAACTAATTGACACAAAAGAAAAATCAGGATGAAATTGTAAGAAAATGACCTAAAATTATAAAATAGATAGCAACAGATGATTTGTTATATTTCTCAGTTCATTATTACTGCTATAATACAAATCAAGTCTTATTTTCTTTAACATCTTTATTTGATCTCATTATTGTAATTTATATGTCATTTAATATGACCCTTGATTGGTAATAAAAGTAATTCTATTCTTTCTATGATGGAGGAATTGGTGCTTAATTTGTTTGTTAGTTAGTTTGGAAGGGGCTCTGACACATATATGGTCATATGGTGACATTTCTTACAACAAGTAGAACTCTCCAAGAATGATATTATTAATGTCCTTGGTAGGTTCAAGTTAATACCTTTATTAATTCATTAGAGATATTCAAAAAATACAAATTAAAGAAAGGGGCTTTACTTTGTCAAAATGCAAATGAAGAATATGAAGCTCCAATGGCCATTATAGCACATTTGTGACCTTCCACATTTATTTAAAGCTAAAAGTAATTCCTAAACTGGTTCAAAAGTTTATATTAAAGAATTAAAGAAAAACAATCCAGACTTAACATATAGGATAGGACAAAGTGACACGGACAAAAGCCCTCCCGTCCAAAAATGCCCTGTCATTTTCACAGGAGGGCTTTTGTCTGCTTTGTCATTTTTGGACAGGAGGGCTTTTGTCTGGGAGGGCTTTTGTCCTACACTCAAAACAAAATAATTCCAATATAAACCACCCCCCACCCTGCTTCATCCACATTACATGTTACTATGATGTATTTATTGCATTATTAGGCATTCAGCCCAAAATACACTCAACATGGCATGAAATATAGTTAAAGTGTAGTGTCAACTTATTACTATAGTGTAATATGCATGTAATACTCATAATGTATTTAACAACCTTACACACAAGTATGGTTGTCCACAACACTACACATTAACAAGGAAACTGGTTCTCAGTAATTTCAAGCACAAGCAGGAAACTATGTTGGGCCTTGAAAGATAGATGAAATAATTTTCTATCTTCCTTCCAGAACTGATCGTTTATATTTAACATTCATCAACAAACTATGTACTGATCATAATGATATACTTACAATAAACTTCATGAAAGTCTTCTAGAGTAGGTTTAGCAGTTTTACTGTTATAGAAATGGGTCCGGAGATTACCATATCTCAATAATGTATAAACAAGCTCTGTTAGGTTTATACCTACTATTGCAAACGAATACCTGAAATACATACAAAGAATACACTTGTATTTCCCCTCTCCTTGATATATTATAGAATTAAACAAATTACAGGTGACAAGTACTGTTTACCTCCTTCACCCTGCTGGTCACAAATGGTTAGACCCATAGGACCAGTACAGATCAAGATCAGCAAGTACCTCTGTGCCATCTGATCATGCTGTCGGTAAGCTCAATGAGTAGAGCGTTGGACTGTGAATTAGGCGACCCAGGTTCGATTCCCAGATGGTGCAGGTCACTTTCATGGTCATTCTGCTCTGCTCTGGCATGTACATAAGTTTCAGTTTCTTGTGAAAGTGAAGGCAACTAGTACTGGTAAACTGCTTGACAGTCTGCCCAGGAATGATGCGGTAGATGAACTGTGCTCTGGTAAATTCCATGTGGCTTACTGTAGTGATCTGGAGTAAAAACTACCAACACCACCACGATCTACAATTTGCTATTTAGTTTACATATTTTTAAATTTTCTCTAAGAAAGACAAGTGGTTTTGTCCAGATTGAAAGATGGACCAGTCCATTTAAGATATTTAGTGTGGTGAGAGTTTAGAGTTATTCTCCAATGAGCATGTAATCATATCACATTAATACCATTTTTTTGCTTAGAGTGTTTAATTGACAGACTACATGTGTACCTCTTTTAAAGAACATATAATTTTTTTCACACTACATGTTTATGAATACAAACTGATTGCTACAAACATCAACATCAGAATGTAATAAAGTGAAGTAAAATTATTAAATATTTTATCACATTTAACAACTTTGTCATGCATGAAACTTACCCGAAATATTGATTGTGAGATTTTGAAAGCATAGATCTTGCTTCAGCTGTATACTTTGTAGCAAAATATCTGAAATGTGAAATATTCAGCACATTCAGAGAACTGTTATCCATAGTTGAATGAATTACAGGAAAACCCGACAATAAAGACTTACTAGATGACAAAACTAGCGGTTAGATTTATGTGACAAGACAGTCTAATTCTCCATGTTACAGTAATGAGTAATATGATTATAATTTTTTTAATACGTCAGAGAGTTCCTTTAAAGTATAATTTAAAGGCTGTTCAATAAATGATCTGTATAATTAAATCATTTCTTACAGAAGTTGATCCAGACCAAGCTGTCCCATGCCACGGAAGTCTGTTTGAGGATCGTTACCTTGGAAACCAAGCTGAGACCACTGTGAACTAGTTCTTGATGTTAACTTCTCACCATCTGTTAGTACAGTCCATAGCTACAAAAATTAAACATCTTTATATAATGTAAGTTAGGCATCTACAGTTAAAATGAAGCAATGACATGTTGATGTAACTGTCAAAAAAACGAAAACAAAAAACATCAAAGGCACTAAGTCTTTAACAACCTAAATAGATATGTAAATGTTTAAATTAGAATCATCAATAATTTACCTTCATCAGTTTATCTTCGTGGTCAGAATTTTCACTGGAATATTTCACCTGTCTTATAGTTTCCACTGTATGCTGTAATCTTATATATCCATTTATCTGGGTCAAACATTGTCGAAATACATGCTCAAATCTAAAACAATAAAATCCTCATTTCAATTGCTGATTTATCATTATACTTTACTTACTTTTGTATAACCAAAGTGATAAATTTCCAAAATGAAAAAGAATAACTAGTAACTTGTTCAGTCTATCATAAATTTGACAAAGCCATTTAAAATAATGTTTTTTTTCTCCATATTTTATCATTAACTTTTACCAGAATTTATTGAAATACACTATTATTATCCTAGCTACTTTAATGACTTGCCTGAAAGTAGGGATTTAGGTGATGAGTTAAAAATGAATATTTCAATTTTTCAAAAAGAAAAGAGAAAAAAAATTTTCTGTGTCATAAATTGTTATCATGAGGGAAAATATGTTTGTTTTTATGGCAGCTTGGGGATACAATAAAGCGTGTTTTGGGTGCAACCTGGCTCTCTCTCTCTTGGTCTGACTAAAGTCTTGCTTGCTTATGAAGAGTAAGATGTATATAGAGTTCTTTATCCACTTCAGAAATGTATCTAGCATCCATCATGTAATTAAGGTCTCTATAAAATAGGTTTTGGTGTACATGACTTAATAATCCAATTTACTACCAAGACTTACTGTGAATGTACTTCTGGCAATATCATTTTTGTTTTCATTACCAAGACAACTGCTGCCTCTATGTTTGTGTCAGTCTCTTTTACAAGTCTCTTCAGCTCATTTTGACTGGAATGCCTTAAACTGTATTCTACAACAAAAACAAGCAACTGTCTGTATCAGAACAAATTCAAATGATAACACACAGTCATGTTCCTATATATCACATGTATGTGTGTTCATAAAACTTCCAGCAACACATCTTAGAAACAACCCGAACATTTATATAACCCTAAAATTAATTCAACCTTGTAATTAATAGTGTATGTAGGAAATCTATGACAGTCTAATAAGGCTTACAAACTTGGTTTCCCCATCTGTTATTTTATACAATACTTCTTTATAATGAATCTGCTTCAAGCATTGATGTTTCATGCATATGTTTTATGCAATACTATTAATATATTTTGTACTGCATTACACTGTAATGCACTGCCCCTAAACCTATGTTGCAAAGTGAAATGGAATGCATTATATCATAAATACATACCTACATATTTGGTCCTTGCAGCTCCCTTAGGGTACTGATATGTTATACGAAGGAGTTCACATTTACCAGTCACCCTGCGGATAATCCACTTGAACATTGGTCTTAGGTAGACATACAGTGTAGCAACCAAACTAGCCCATAATGCTTGCAACATTGGAATACTCTTTGCCAAGTTTAATATATGCTGATCTTTTTAATTTACTGAAATTAATGTCTGTATGCTAGATGCTTAATTTTTCCAAAAGTACTGAAATTTTATGAAATTTGAAATATGACAAGATAGCAGTATGAATGGCTATGACCCTTCAAAATGTTGCTGACATACTTCTTGTGCTGCTCTTACTGGTAGGGGACTTTTGTATTGAATTGTTAATATTTGGATGTCAAAATTTTAGGCTATGGTTGTCTGTCTATAGACTAATTGTGTTAATTTAAAGGAACATTCAATTTAAATAAAACAATTAAAAAGACTTGGGTCATTATTGATTAATATGGTAACTTTGACCAGTACTCCTTTCCAGTTCCTCCCCTGATGTTTGCTCCCTGACTGTTGCACATGTGCAGACTGTTCCTTCCCATTTTATTCTTAATCTTATAAAATAAAAAAAAGTTTGATAGTCTCAATCTTCTGATAGATTTACAAATTGAGCTATTTTACAAAACAATCAAGCCAATTTTAGTGTGCAGTGTTGAAATTTTGGGATTTGGTAATATTGACATTATTGAGGTGGTACAATTAAGGTTTTAAAACTTATTCTAAGGTTAAAGAAGTCAACAACAAATTATTTTGTATATGGAGAAACCGGATGTATGCCTATCTATTGACATTGAAGGAAGGATAATATCATTCTGGTCAAAATCATGTAATAACGATGGTGTTAATAATACATACATGAATGTAGAAATATAGAATAATAAATTGTAAATCCTTGTCTATAAGAACTCACTACTCTCAACAGCTGGTTTAAGTGATAATTTGCTTAAAAAGAATATTCCAAGTTTTTTTAGTTTCAAAACTATTTTAATCAAATGTGGTCTATCACAAGTGTGGTTTGACAACAGGTTTATAAACACTGAGTGGCTTAAACTCTCTGTAAAACAAATCTTAAAAAAAAAATCTTAAACGAGTGGTATTCCAAAATTGAAAATTCGAGTAAAAGTTTGTTTTATAGAGTTTTGAAGACATTTGGATTTGAATTTTTAACTTTGCAAATTTTGTACTTTTTTAATTAAATTCAGAACAAGAAATTATTGATTTCCAATAGAAACGGGTAATTGGTCTAGTATTCCAATAAACCAAAGATTTTTTGCTGTCAAAATTAAATAAGTGACCAATTTCATTATTTATTTAAATGTTGTCAAATTTGAATAAACAACTGTCTGTGTATATGTCTTGACAAAAACTGTAACCAAATGGCGCCAAAACCGAACCAAAAAACAGTTTGGAGTAGTAATCTTAAAATGACCTTTAACATAACTGATGAAACAACCAATCAAAAAGGTTGTTTATCCAAAATACAAAGACTTGAATGGAGTAGTAGTACAAAAGTTACCTCTGACCTCACCCCAGAAAAAAAACTAGAAATGTGTCCATAGGACACGGATGCCCCCACACACCACTGTTCTGTCAATCTTATGACTCTAGGTCAAATATTTTTTGGACTACATGTGCCACAAGTTGAAAACTAAAAATCAACAAAGGGCCATAATTCTGTTAAGGACAGTAATTATGTGGCTACTCTATTGTCCTCTCTATTGTTCCTTTTAACCACTTGTTATCATGTTAAAAATAGTAATAGTAAAACACATTTGTACAAAAAAAATAAAAATCTTTTTTGAGAAAAACTGTCAACAAATTTTGGGCAGAACTGTTGCGGGGGTGGAACTGTTAGGGTAGGAAACGATTTGGGAGAGAACTGTTCAGGGTGAGGAACGGAAACTAAGCCTGGAGAGAACCGGTCAGGGTGACCGGTGAGGAACGGAAACTAAGCCTAAGGGTGAGAATAGTCTGTCATTTGTTTCTCACCATCATATTATTGGGGTTTTTTTTGTTTTTTTTTTTAAACTTGAGCATGACTTAAAAACAAAAAAGACTTTAAATTAAATTTCATTAAGAGTGACACTTATAAAAAAAATACAGCTGAGACCTTTAAAACTTACAGCTTTCTTTCTCAATTGTAATTAATGATGTAGTTTCCACAACGTGTTAATAAAATGGTAATCATAATAATATTTACAGATACATGGCGTGTTTTGATTGGTCAGCGTTTCCACAGAAACCAGAGACAAAATATTGACTTCTGATCACAAATTTGAATGGTGGTGCTATTACATCGGAGCTTATATCATTAAGTCCAAAAACCAAACGAACTTTCTGTCATAATAGGATGCATTAAATGCTTTGAAGCCTTTCCTTCCGTAATGTATAAATATAGGTCAGGAGGACATTAGAAACCATTCAGCCAATAGAATCCTTTGTAACAGTGATATTTTGTTTCCTGACCTTTAATAAAGTCGCATATTCGTAGAAATTTATAATAATTTAAGAATGTTTCTTGAATTTTAGAGCGTCATCGAAAGTAACTGAGTGCTATTATATGATAAAAATAATTTAGAATTATGTTTATATGAGCAGATATAAGGAATTTCGTATATGAAAATTCGTTTTGTTTGTAAATATAAAAAAGACAGCATGGCGCGGATAAAGAGAAAAGAAATGTCAAAACATTTTACTATTTTATTCCTATTCTTTCAAACCCTATGTCAAATATGTCACAGTCTGGAAACAGTAGAAAGTCACAACCAAGGTGAGGAAATGTTTTTAGCTCACATAATTGGAAATATTTGAAAATAACAGGCATCGTATTTTTGTTATTTTCTGTCATAATTTGTGCTAGATTTTCACGAAAGTATGACCTGATATATTAAACAGTAGAGATTTATTTAAAAAAATGTAGTTTAAATAAAATGCATTGAACAATTTTATTTGAAATCTAAGATAGCAAGTTTTAGCATGAATATACATTTTAATTCACATTTTATTATTTGTTTATTATGCATGGTTATGTGTCATACCTTAGAAACAGGTGCTGTAAACAGATGTTTTCCAGGTTTTGGTACTTTTAAAGTTTAAGTGATATAGATCTATATGTAGATATTTAAAAGGTTAACATATTATTTTGATTATGAACACTTGTCTTTTTTAAAGTCATAAAGATCATTAAAAAATTCCATGCTGGAACAGTAACTAACATCAGTTGTGCAAGATTTAATATGAAAATTGGTGCTATCTATGATGCAGAAAGCTTATATGACTTAATAACAAGTATACAATTTTCAATGTAAATGTCACAGGGTGAGCAAAATGTGCAGTCTGACCAGGACTCAAACCTGGGAACCTTGGAATACTGTTCCTTGGCTTTACTGACCGAGCTACCTGGCCGCTTACACATCTTCCCTCTATATATTAGACAGTTCTGAACCGTGACATACAAACCAGATCTTTCCTTTAAGTATATGCAGATATTTTGTTATGTTAAATAGATATGAATGAATATGTGCTGTTTAACCTATCATCAAAGTATTTTGAGTGTTTCAGATTATTTTGTAAGCCAATTTTTGTTAATTTAATCTCTAATGTGATGATTTATCTAAATGGATATTCCGCTAATCATAGCAAAACTACTGTTTACAACGCACTTGTTTCCAGAAATCAATCGAGAAAAATAAATTAACAATAGCAGATCTATGCGTAAAAAAATAAAATTTAAATGGTATTGAAGAAATTGAACAATACTTTAACTGCAGTGATTTTTTCCCAATTTTCAAAACAACCTGTGCTTTTCCGAAGGGGAAAATATCGCGTGATAAATCAGAAAAGGGGGAAAACCTGAAATCAAATTCCAACAACTGAAAATGGAATTTACCCACACATTTTATAAAAAAAATTAATATCAATTCAATTTAACATGCATGGTACATAGCAGAGGCTATATATAGGGACAGATTTCTGTCTTCTAGATGATATAAGTCAGATGCTGTTAAGTCATGGTTCTGGTAAGGAAGAGCACAAGGCATTTTAGGGGAAAATATTAGCATTTTTAGGGGAAAATATACCTATTTTGGGCTAGGGGAAACAGCCTTTATTCGGCTGTAAAATACAGTGAAAAAATCACTGAACTGTATCCCAAATTATGTAGCGTTTTTTCTAGATTATGTAGCACATATTGTGTATAATACATATATGAAAATTATCATAATCATCTTCAAATACAAGTATCAACAGTACATTACAGTTTTTTTAAATGTTATTTTCATTCCTAATAAATTTGTTTTAAATTGAACACTTTTCTCACCATCCAATTAAAACAGAAATAACTCACAAGTAGTTTTTGGTAAATAAAGTTAATTAAAGAAAAAACAAAATAATTTATTATGATTGTTAAGATTGTCTTAATTTAAGATGACTTGTATATATAATAAAAGAAACTATTTGAAACATAAAAATCAAAGTTTTGTGGGAATTACATGAATAAGTATACAAGACTTAATGGTATTCTATTTTTTTACTTTCAGCTTTCATACAGACAGACAAACATTTAACATATATAGTAGGGGATGTTAGTTCAGGAATTCCAATTGAGGTAAGAAGTCTGTCATTTAAATTTCTTTACTTAGATAAGTTAAAAAATTTATATCTTCTTTCTTCACATCAAATCATTAGCCCCATTTATATCTATAGATGTATGTCATGTTTAGTGTTAAGATGATGCGTAAGTCATGAAACTGGTATGAAATATTATGAATTTTAGCTCTACTTTTCAAAGAAAAAGCAGAGCTATTGTCATGACCCATTTGTTGTTGGATAACCTTTTTTGTAAAAGTTTTCATTTATAGTCATTGACATCAATACTAACAATGCTGTCACATTGTAACTTGGGAATGCACCTTGAGTCCATTTGGCCATTACATTAAAGTGCACGGACCTTGGAACTTTAAACTTGTTATGTGAATGCACCTTGCTGAGTTCTACCTTTTACATCCATTTTCAGGTCAAATATCAAGGTCACTAGGACCTGTAATATTAAAAAATTATTAAAACTGGCCACTGATTTAAATTAATATGCATTGACCTATGAACCTCAAATTTTATATGTAAATACAGAGTCATGTTTAAATTGTTGGCTCAAAAGGTCAAAAATATTTTTTTTATCAAAACTTTGTTTATAGTAATATTTTAAAGTATGACATTGAAACTTATAATGTGCTAGCATCTTGTTGTGTTCTATCTGTTACATCTTTTTTGTTTTAAAGGTTGAGGTCATACATCTATTTTGTTTGAAAGGTCAAGGTCATTGTAACCATTTATGAAATAGCAAATAAGCAGTTTTATATCAATAGGCATAGTAATTATTTTTCTCATCAATCATGTATACATTTCTTGTGTAAGCACAATAATTACTGTTCTCTTCATTTAGACTACCATTACAAGGATGATAATCATAATGAGCAGGAACCGCTAACTTGATAAGCTTTGCTCACTTTAAACAACACTCGACCTGCATTCATTTTTTCATGGAAATAAAGCAAGATTTTTAATATTGAGAAAACTCAATTAATCTCATTTTGTTAAATATATATAATTTTCTTGTTTTGGCAATTTTTTCTTTTGTTTATGTACTGTTACATGTACATTATAAATTATTAAAAGTTAGAAATTTGAGTGTCATGTTGTAGAATACATGTACTTTATAAATGGTGAATAAATAATGATTTTTATATTAAAATAGTATTTCTTGTAACAGTTGTCTTCGCAGTTTTTTCTGGAATTCAGACATTATAATAATTATTATTAATGTAAGAAAACAGATGTTCATCCAACAATATACACACGTGTATATATTTACACACTGCCATTGCCACACAAGTTATATTGAGAATTTTGTTTTTACATTGTGTTCAGTAACGTGGACGTTGGGAGTTCCAAAGGCTAGTTCAGCAATAAGATCAATGCTTTTAGTTTCACATCTTTGTCTTGGTCTGCCTCTCACAGACATGTCCATTCAGAAAGAATAGAAAACATTGTTGCTCTCAACTTTGATAAACATCAAAGAAACTTCACTTAATTTGATGGTTATAAAATTGTAGGCCTCCTTGGTAATACATGCCCATATTCCAGTAATTAAGATTATGTTTAGAAAAAAAAAGTGGCTGGCCTTTTATATTTCTTCTGAAATTATTTTATTTTCATTGTCCCTGGTTTTGTTTAAAAAAAGAAAAGGAAGCTGTAATTTACTTAGATCTGTTTCTGAAAACGAACAAAATGTAAATTGTAGGAATTTCCACTCTGATTGTTGTGTATGAATTAATGAGGGCCGTTATTACTTGAGAAGGTTTTCAAATCAATAAAACTGATTAACATGAGATTCCAATTTACTGGAAATAGATTGACCAGGAAGTCTGTTTGTTAAGATAAAGTTTTGTAACTAACTAAGGCTCTTCTATTACTTTACATTGTAGTTTTATAGCGAGGCAATCTCACTGAAATGAAAAGAAAGCTATAAAAATGTTTATATTTTGTCAAGAAAAAGTCTAATGACTGCTTTATGCTTTGCATTCAAAAGGAGAAAAAAATTGTTTGAATATTTTGTACTTGCCCTTTGAATATTAATAATCATTAATTTATATTTCAGTCAATTAGGGTTAGTTATAAAATTGCTAATACATCTTCTTATGAAGGGTATTTTAATATACAGTCAACCTCCGCTTATAACGAACTCAATGGGACATTAAAATATCATCGTTATATCTAAAGTGAGCTAAAAGCGAAGTAGTAACAACTGCTTTGTTTGGGTGGAAAAAGCCATACCTGTCACTAGTCACCAATTACGGTGACCTGTAATCTGTATTTTACGGAAGCGGTAATTTTATTCTGGGCAATTTGTTGAACAATATATTATGTACATGTATTTAATTTATTGCAGATGAAAGTTTCACAGTTAATGTGCATAATGTATTATTGTATACATGTATTTAATTCAAACAAAAGGTTGAACTTCATGAACACATTCATTTAGGCACTTTCTATAAAAGTAACATGCAAAAAAAATCAGTTATTTTGGATCTCCTAAAAATTTTCAAACAGCATCTATGGCACTAAAAATTCAAAGACAAAGAAATCACCTTTCGTTTTATTCCAGTTTTTGATGTTGTTGCCATTTTATAACTGTAATGTTACAAAGTTTAAATACTGGGGAAGCAATTGTATTGCAATATTTTGTGAGAACATTTTACCAAAATCTTTATTCCCTGAAGCCATAACACTTGATTGAATAATTATTGGATAGCGGTATTTATGTTCTGATCTTTAATCGAGTGCATCCCAATATTTCAATTGTAACAGTAGACTTACAACACTTTGTTTTAACCAAGGAAATTTACATGTTTTTTGCCTTTTTGGGACTTGAAAAAATGGTTCTCTATTGCCGAAAATTTGTAATAAGCTAGTACATGTACATCTTAAACAATGAGATTTTATATAAAATAAAGAAGGAATAGGTCGGGGATTCAGATTTAGTTTGCTATTAATGATAGTTCGTTATAAATGAGTTGGTTATAAGTGGAGTTGAATATAGCTTGCTTGTACATCATGATGGAAAATAGTGATTTATATTCCATTAAATTAATATTCAATCAATAATCAATCAATTTCATAAAAATAGTTCAGTAAGCCACCATTTCAAATACATGTATTCTTAAAACGTTTAATATTGGTCTGATGTTGTGAGGAATGAGAGTTAACAATAAAACACATTTATAGGAATGCTTGTGTAATTTTAACTGGTATATGGTGCAGATCAAATGCTTGACTTCTTAAATTTAAATTTTGCTGATACACTGACATGTAATTAAGTCAATAACACGATCAAATGATGATTTTACTTCCAAGCACTTTCATTGAATTGTAAAAAGAGGAAGATAAAGTCTTTAATAAAAACAATGGTTTAAGCGTGATATTTATAGTATTATGTGACATACATTTATTGTTATTTTATCAAGGATAGAAACATAAATTTAGCATGATTTTGAAATTGTTACCTTGTACAAGGTTTTACACTGTTATAGAAATGTTGCATTAATTGAGCAATTGTTATACTGTTAAAGTACCTTAGAGTTATTGCCTATTTACTGCTAGATTCACTAAGATTGATCTCAATATATTGAAACATTTCTGGAAAAGAATTGAATTGTCAATATCAACTTTATCAACACTAAGTCAAAAAAATGAAACATTGTCTTAGGACTACAGAAAAATTATGTAATCACTTCTCATGTGCAGCACAGAGTACAGCAATCCTGAACATACCGGTACATGTGAAAAAAATATTGTACTGTAATTTTGGGTATTGAATTATGAAACTTGTATCTCATACTGTATGACTATAACTGTTGCAATGATTGACTTATGAGTTATGACTTCTCTGCTGTTGTATCAACACCCTGTTGTTTCTCTTATCATTGCACTGTTGAACTGTATTGTTGTCATGGCAACATACTGTGACATGCAGTACTTAGCCTATAAAGTTTTGTTAAAGATCCATCAATTTCCTGTACTGAGGTGACTGTAAACTCAATAATCTCATTTTTGCCATATCTTGTGGTAGCAAGGTGAAAATAATGGCATGAAAGTTTATGGCAAAAACAAAATGGTTTTTGGAAGACATTCCCAATTACATAGGCCCAACAACTACAATATCATGCACAGTCACAATATAGCTGGATGCATTTAACTAAATCTGTACTAAATTTTTTTAGAAATATAGAGTCTATATAAAAATAATCAATTTCTTCCAGGTTGATTCATAGAAATACTAATAGCAAACATAGGAAGGATAGAACAATACTGGTTATAATTGTTCCTAATGGTACAAATCCTGTCTTTTGAGTATATACTCAAGTCTTCATCATTTAGTTAACCAGAACAATAGGGTATGAGATGAGCGGCTGGAGTATAACTTAAGACTGACCTCTTTCCTACCTTAAAATGGTTGTTCAGGTTTAAAGTGTCAATAAATATATTTTTCAAATTTTGAAAATGCCTTACATTAGTACTATTAAGTATGTTGATTACTCATGATACAGGGACTGTCAAAGCACTAGCCTCAGTAGCCTGGTTCAATATAGAGTAAGTTCAGGTAGCACATTGGTTGAGGCTAGCCTCAGTTAAGGCTGGATTTATATAAAGTAAGGACAGATTGCACATTTGTTGAGCTAGCCTCAATAGCCTGGCTTTATATATAGAGTAAGGTCACATTTCACATTTGTTGAGGGTAGCCTCAGAAGGCTGGATTTATGTAGACTAAGGTGACATTGCACATTTGTTAAGCTTAGCCTCAGTAGGCTGGATTTATATAGAGTAAGGTCAGCTTACATTTGTTGAGGTTAGCCCCAGTAGGCTAGATTTATATAGTGTAAGGTCAGAAAGACAGATTGCACATTTGTTGAGGTTAGCCCCATTAGGCTGGATTTATATAGAGTAAGGTCACATTGCACATTTGTTAAGGTTAGCCCCAGTAGGCTGGATTTATATAGAGTAAGGTCAGAAAGACAGATTACACATTTGTGGAGGTTAGCCCCAGTAGGC